GAAGTGCTGTGAATATATGTTGCTCCCACTGAAAAATAAACAAAGCTGTTTGGCCTATGACAAGAAAGCTTATAGCCAGGTGGGAAATCCAAGAGAGCTGGAGAGAGAAGAAAGGCGGAGTCAGGAGAGACCCGATCCAGCCACCCAAGAGGGAAGATGTGAAAGTACCGTTAAGTCACGTGGAAACCATAGATTAATAGAAATGGGTTGAATGAAGTTATAAAAGCTAGTCAATAATGAGCCTGAGCCATAGGCCGTACAGTTTGTATTAATATAAGCCTCTGTGTGTTTACTTGGGAATGAGCAGCTGCAGAACTGGGTGGGACAAAGGAAAACTTCCAGGTACAGAACTCTGAGCTCAAGGCCAGCCTGGTCTACATAGTGAGTTCCAGGACAGCCACGGATATATTAAAAAGACCCTGTCTCAGAAAAACAACGACCAATCAGAAATGCAGCAGGTGGGCACCACTGCAACCACAGCCCAGCCCCTTCCTCTACTTGACAACACCAGGCAGTACATCCTCCCACCAAGAGAGAACAAATAAAGACAGCTGAAATGAGGCCTTAAACACAAATCTCAGGAGTATGTGAAAAGGTTTCCACTGGAAAAAAATCATGATATCAAGGACCAGGAAGATTGAAAACTAAACAGAAATAGTCAACAGATCTGAAGCCCTAGAACATGAAGGTGTGAGGATTATCTGAAAACATGTTCTGAAACTCCATGATGAAATGAGGGCTAGGAATACAGAGCATGTGTGAGGGAGGCCCTGGGTTCAATTCCCAGGACGGATGGATGGAAGGAGGGAGACAAGGCTATCCTGGACTAAAAGACAAGGCTATCCTGGACTAAAAGACAAGGCTATCCTGGACTAAAAGACAAGGCTATCCTGGACTAAAAGACAAGGCTATCCTGGACTAAAAGACAAGGCTATCCTGGACTAAAAGACAAGGCTATCCTGGAGGTGGGGGAGAGGGGTGGGGATGAAGAGGAGGAAGAGAAACAACATCAGGAGAGCACACTGAAACAAAAACAGCCCTGAAGTCTGTCTAGGCTGAGGAAAGAGAAGTTCTAGGTTGTGATCCTAGAACCCCAGCACGCTACAGGCTGAGGCAGGAGGACTGCGAGTTGTAAACTATCTGGACCACACAGTGAGACAGGGACCACACAGAGAAGAAAGGGAGAGAAATAGAGAGAGGAAGAGACAGACAGAGAGAGACAGAGACAGAGACACACAGAGCAAGAAACAAACAGAGACAGAGACAGAGACAGAGAGAGGGAAGGGAGGTGAGAGGGGAAGAAAGGAAGGGAGTGAGCAAGTGCAGAAGAAACAGGACTGGAGAGATGGCTCAGTGGTTAGAAACACTGGTTTGTCCTCCAGAGGACTGGGGTTCGATCCCAGTGCCTACATGGTGGCTCAAGGCCATCTGTAACTCTAGTTCCAGGGATTTGGGCCTTCTTCTGGCCTCAGAGGGCTCCCGCACAGGTAATTCATATAGATTCACACACCTGTGCATACATTAAAAGGAAAAGAATTTAAAAGCTAGCTACCCATGCCCCTACCAGGGAGCCAGAGAAGCAAGGCAACACCAGAGTTCCTTCATGGTTTCTGTGTCACCTTCCTGCTTCAGCTCCTGATGCCTCCTCTCGGTGGGGGACTGTGGCCTGGAAGTAGAAGACAAATCTTTTCCTCCCTCAGGCTGCTTACGGTCGGAGTGTTTTATTACAGCTACAGAAATGAACCATGACAACCAACCCCAAATGGGCTAAGCCCAGAGAACTCCATTCCAAGACATCATGTGCCCAGGTTGGCCTAAAATCCTCATGCTCTTCCTGCCTCAGCCTCCACAGTGTGGGATTACAGACTGGGATGATGATGGCTGGCTCATGATTGCATTTTCCCCCAAACAAAAAATCTCTTTCAGAGACAGATGGTGGTGGCCCAAGCCTTTTAGTCCCAGTACTCAGGAGGCAAAGGCAGGTATCTCTGAGTTCAAAGCCACCCTGTTATACAGAGTGAGACCCAGGACAGCCAGGGCTACACAGAGAAACCCTATCTGGAAAAACCAATATATATATATATATTTTTTTTCCCAAAAGTCTTTTTTATTTTACTTTATGTGTATGAGTGTTCTTTCTGCATACACTGTGGCATGCTTGGTGCATGTGGAAGTCAACATCAAATTAAAATAAAATTTTAAAACATTTAAAAAAAATAACAAAAACCAAGACTGCGTTAAAAAATGGTCCCAAATCAATAGTAGCTAAAGAATGGGAATGAATGTGGTGGCATACATTCATTCCAGCTCCTGGGAGGCAGAGGCAAATCTCAGGGAGTACAGGGACACCAGTTTCCATACAGTCCAAGCCAGCCAGGAACATGACCAGAGACATGACGAGACACCATAACAAATAAGATAACCGAAGGATAAATAAAAGTGTGAAAAAGAGTCACCGTTATGATCATTAGAAAACCACAGATTCATGATGAGCGGTCACTGCACACCCATCACAGTGGTTGTATCTGTAAAACCACAGCGGCCAGGATATGGGGAGTCAGTCTTCACACTCTGATGGGAGGACCCTACAATGTTTGGACAACTCTGGAAAGCTGTCAGGTTTTTTTGTTTTGTTTTGTTTCTTTTGTTGTTGTTGTTGTTTTTGTTTTTTTGGTTTTCAAGACAGGGTTTCTCTGTGTAGCCCTGACTGTCCTAGAACTCACAGAGATCTGCCTGCCTCTGTCTCTCGAGTGCTGGAATTAAAGGTATGCCCCACCACATCTGGCTCAGTTTCTTCTTTTTTTTTTTTTTTTTTTTGGTTTTTCGAGACAGGGTTTCTCTGTGTAGCTTTGCGCCTGTCCTGGAACTCACTTGGTAGCTCAGGCTGGCCTCGAATTCACGGAGATCCGCCTGGCTCTGCCTCCCGAGTGCTGGGATTAAAGGCGTGTGCCACCACCGCCCGGCTCAGTTTCTTCTTTTTTAAAAGCATGTCTTCTTTAAGTATGTGTATATGTGTATCTGTGTGTGTATGTGCATGTGAGTCCTGTGCCTGTAGAGGCCAAAAGAGAGTGTCCATCATCTAAAGCTGGAGGTAAAGACGGTTGTGAGCTGCCCACCATGGATTCTGGGAACCAAACTCCAGTCCTCTGAAGGAGCAGTACCACTCCTATGAGCTAAACCATCTCTCTAGTCCCAAAATAGGACCCACAGATTGTGGTCAGCCAGCTGTAGGATTGAAGGAAATAGAGCAAAGCAGACAGTACTGTGGACAAGCCTACAGACACCATCACTCTTTCCCAGGTCAGAGGCCCCTGCTCACATCCTCCAAGGTGCCCATGCCTGGTGTCTTCCACTCCCTTCACATAGTGTACCTGGACCCACGCGAGCTGACCAGCTTAGAAACTGATGCCATGGTAGCATTCCTGGTGGCGGAGGGGGACCAATAAACCACACTGAGACTCTGACTGTCACATCTTCAGCTCCTAGATACGGAGGTTTGAACAGTGACGAAAGCATGGAGGGGCTATCAAAATGTCTCACTAGGCCGGGTCGGTGGTACAAGCCTTTAATCCCAGCACTCTTGGGAGGCAGAGAGACAGGCAGAGGCAGACAGATTTCTAGGAGTTCAAGGCCAGCCTACTATACAGAACAAGGTCCAGGACAGCCAGAGCTACATAGTGAGACCCAGGCAAAAACAAACAAACAAAAATGTCTCACTGGGTAAATGGTACTCATCATGCAAGCTGGAAGAACTGAGTTTGGTCCCTGGAACTCACATAAAGGTAGAAGGAGAGAATTGATTCTACAGAGTTGTCCTCTGTCTCTACATGTGTGCTTTGACATGTGGGTGCACACACACACACACACACACACACATACATACATAATAATAAATATATATCACTAAAACTATAAATGTAGGCTGGGCAGTGGTGGCTCATAACTTTGATCTCAGTACTTGAGAGGCAGAGGCAGGTGGCTCTCTCTGAGTTTAAAGCCAGCCTGGTCAACAAAGCGAGTTCCAGGACAGTAAGAGTTACACGGAGAAATCCTATATTGAAAAACAAAAGAAAAAGTATAAATGTAGGGACTGGAGAGATGGCTCAGCAGTTAGGAGCACTAGCTGCTCTTCCAGAGGACCAAGGTTCAATTCCCAGGCCCCACATGGCAGGCCACAACTGTCTGTAACTCCAGAACCAGGAGATCCAGCATCCTCACACAGACATACATGCAAGCCAAACACCGTGCACATAAAATAATTATTTGAAAAAGAAATTATTTTTAAAAAGTATAAGTGTGCTAGGCAGTAGCAGCACACTTTTTTTTTTCCAAGACAGGGTTTCTCTGTGTAGTTTCGGTGCCTTTCCTGGATCTTCCTCTGTAGAGCAGGCTGGCCTCAAACTCACAGAGATCCACCTGGCTCTGCCTCCCAAGTGCTGGGATTAAAGGTGTGTGCCACCACTGGCTGGCAGCACACACTTTTAATCCCAGTGTTCACAAGGCAGAAGCAGAGGGATCTCTGTGAGTTTGAGGCCAGCCTGGTTTACGAATCAAGTTCCAGGACAGCCAGGGCTATTAGAGAAACCATGTCTCGAAAAACAAAACAACACAAAATATAAACGTATGTAACAATAAATTTGAACATCTAAATGAAATAGATGTTTCTATTAGGAAGTATATATCAGGGATGGCAAGATGGCTCATCAGGTAAAAGGAGCTTGGCATAAAGCCTGATGACAAAACTATGATTCCTCGGACCCACATGGTGGAAGGAAAGAACCAACTCCCACACACTCTCCTCTCACCTGCCCACAGGTGTTATGGCATGTGTACCCCCACCCACATACAATAAATATATAAATAAAAATGTCATCCATCAACTAACCACTGTTTCTGTACTTGTGCACTAAGGCAGGAAATCATTGTTACTTTATGAGCCAAGACAGGGGTCCTGGTACAGGAACTGACACTGGAGGAAAGCAAAATACAGGACCACTTAGTAGACACAAAGAACATGAGTTCTTCTCTGTTTGGAAATTTCCTCAACTTTCAGATCTTTGGAGAAACAGAACATGCTTCCTATTTCAGAAGTTGAAAAATAACCAAAACTCTGACTTCCTGGGCTCCCTTGGCAGTTGGGCACCAGGCATGTGACTAACCAGACTCACATCCAGGCTTCCGTTAGCTCATAATCGCAGAGGAGGATGGGCAGTGTGGAGCTCTGCAGCCTCAGGAGTCGCGGAACAATGTCTGGCCTGGCGGCTGTGGCGATACAAGCTTCAGTGACTTGGTCTTGCAGCAGGGCAGAGATCTGCTCACCAGACTGGTTCTACAGCAGGGTTCTGGGAACTGTTCCTGGCCACATAACTCCATGTCTGGTTTTTCTGCCCAGAAAGTCTTTGAAGTAGCCAATGTCGTTTGTTTTTGTTTGGAGGTTGAGACAGAAACATGTTAGGTAGTTCAGGCTGGCCTCAAACTCATTATGTGGCCAAACCAACCTCATCTTAGCCATCCCCCTGCCTCAACCTCCTCATAGTTGCTGGGATTAGAGGTATGCATCACCACATGCACCACAAGACATGGTAATGCTGTTTTGCCTGGGCTGGTGTGGAACTCCCATCTCAGCCTACAGAACCACTAAGGCTATAGCACTTGCTACACTCCCTGGCTCTAGCCATTTTTTTTTTTTAATAAAGTGCTGGGATTAAAGATGTGCACCACATCCCAGGCCTAGGCAATGTATCATTTTCCTGTGGCTTATACCTGAAAGGTGACAGCAATACAGTAGAAAAACCTCCATCCCCAAAGGCTCACCATCATAGCCTCTATCTCTGCTACCTTCTGCCTCACCTCTTGATTCTGCCCTGGTTGTTCCACGCAGCACATGATGTAAGTGGCAAGTCCAGGAATCGGCTGCAATTAGTGTGTGTCTACCCCTTGTCCGGTCATCAGCAGTGAGCAGAGATGGGAAAGCTCATGTTCGTGGTCCCCCTCTGAGGAGGTAGGATCCTTACATCATGAGATGGGCAGTGACCCAACAGACCTAACAGCTGACTTTCTGCAACACAGGACAAACCCAGGCTTCGAAATCAGAACAGTTCCCAGAGGGATGAATGTTGAGCTGGAACTCACCAGATGTGTGTTGGGAAAAGGTAATGAATGAAAGTTGAAGGACAGCAAAGAAGGATCAGGAGGTGGGGAGCACTAGACAAGGGGGCTGAGCAGGCAGGTGGGCAAGACTCAGACTCGCAGGCCCTGAAGGTCATGTTAGGTACTGCAGATGGCCTCCTGGAGCTCTCAGGAGCCATGATGAGTTCAAGTGGTCAACAGATTAGCACACTTGCAGGCAATTCTGCCATGGAAACTAGAAGGGAAGTTGGAGATTTCCGGGATAAACCAGAAGGCTACTGCAGGAAAGGAGGAGATAGTGCCCAGGCCTGGGCAGTGGACAATGGAAAGAATTGATAGAAACCAGAGTTAAATCAGCATTCTCGATAATGGGGGAGTCGAAGAAGGCAGTAGCACTGAGAGTATTCAGAGTGATCAGGTCAATGAGTAGTTGTGGACAACAGAGGAGGAGTGCTGTTTTTCTGTGGGTGTGTTTGTTTGAGAAAAAGTTTCAGGATACAGCCCAGGCTGGCCCTGAACTCATGCTCTTCCTGCCTCTGCTTCCCAAGGTTAGGAGTGTTGACAGTCCTGCACCTCCATGGCTAGCAGATGAAGCGATTTAGATAACGAAGTTGCTTTTTGGCGTATTGGAGGTTTGGGTTTGGTTGCTTTCTGTTTTGTTGTTTGTTTTTTGTTGTTGTGTTCATGAGAAGAGTCTTCCTTTGTAGTCCACAGCAGGCTTCAAATTCAGGATCTTCCTGAGCCTCTCAGATGAGGTACACTGTTTCTGTACTTGTGGAACATGTAAGAAGAGAGGTTGAGAGACAATCAGACCTAAGGATCTAGGCCTCAGAGAAAAGGGTCTGGAGCAGAGATAAAAACTTGAGTCTGGGGCAGAGGTGATTAAAGGCACAGCAAAGTATGTTCCAGGTGTTTATGGAGTATATGTTAGGAAAGCCCAAGAATGCTCTGAAAACAGGTTTACTGTTCCAGAAAGGTAGAGGAAGAGGGAGCCACAGAGAAGGCTGATTAGGACCAACCACACCAGCAAGATGAAAACCAAGCAAATGAGTGTCATTTGTCATGTCCCCAGGAGGGACTAGCCCAGGGTATGGATGCTGCAAAAACAGTTTAGAGAGCATCAGCCAAGAGCCCAGTGGATAGAATAGAGGGTGCCAGCAGCCCCAGGTTGGGGCGGGGGCAAATCAGTTTAGGGCTAGGAAAGGTGACAGTGGGGTGTAAGGGAGCAGAGAAGGAAAATTAGGCATCTCTAAGAATAGCTATGGAGGGGGAGGAGAGAGGGCAGCAGGCAGAAGCTGCACAAAGTTGGTGGTTGGAGAGTCTCTAGATCTTTCCAGGGTGGCAGGAAAGGGAGAGTGTAAAACCAAAGAGGGTTCTGGGGAAAGCTGTGGAGAGAGATGATAAGGGCTTGTGGCTGGAGGGAGACTGTTCCCTGGGTCACAGGAGCTGGTTATCAGGTTGTCATTTCCTCCACAGGTCCTCTATCTTTTTCCTGCTCTTGGCCTGGCTCTCCTTGGAGCTGGAAGAGAGAAGGACCCAGTCATACCCTGGAAGAAGGTCCATGCCTTCAGAGGTCTTTCTGCCTGACTGTAAGCTGGGGCTGGGACCAGAGGAGGAGGATCTGAGGGGACTAAGACCAAGGACTGAGGACAGGGGTGGAAGAGAGGGAAAAGTCTGGGACGTATGGAAGCTGTTTCTGGAAGGCATCCTGAGAGCTAGAGCAGTGGAGGGCTGGAGCCTAGGAAAATTATGCCAGGGCCAGGGTGGCATCCTCATAACTCCCTTTGCCCACAGGTTCATATGGCTCTCCTCATCCTGCTGTTCCTGCTGCCGAGCCCCTCACATTCCCATCCCACTTGTGAGGTCTCCAAAGCGACCAGCTTGCTGGAAGTGAACTGTGAGGACCAGGGGCTGACTGCACTGCCCGCAGACCTGCCAGCAGACACAGGCATCCTCCGCATGGGCAAGAACAAACTGGGCGCCTTCTCCACAGCATCCCTGGTGCACTTCACTCACCTCACTCAGCTGGACCTGGATGAATGTGAGCTGACCAGCCTGCAGACTGACGAGGAACTGTCGAAGCTGGATAACCTGAAATTATCCCACAATAATCTGCGAAGTCTGCCCTCCCTAGGACGGGCTCTGCCTGCACTCACTGTCCTTGACGTCTCCTTCAACCAGTTGGAATCACTGTCTCCTGGTGTCCTGGAAGGTCTAAGCCAACTCCAGGAGCTCTACCTGCAGAACAATAATCTGAGGAGTCTGTCCCCTGGACTCTTCCTGTTCACCACCAAGCTGAACAAACTCAATCTGGCCAACAACAAAATGTGTGAGTTACCCCCTGGGCTCCTAGATGGGCTGGAAGATCTTGACACCCTCTACCTTCAAGGGAACCGGCTTCATACAATCCCAAAGGGCTTCTTTGGGACCCTCCTCTTGCCTTTTGTTTTTCTCCATGGCAACACCTGGTATTGTGATTGTGATATCCTCTACTTCCGCAACTGGCTCCAGCAAAATTCCAACAATGTCTACTTATGGAAGGAGGGTGACAATGTCACTGTCTTGACCCCTAATGTGGCCAGTGTACGATGTGTCAATTTGGGCTCCACACCTGTCTACTCTTACCCAGGGAAGGGTTGCCCTACCAGTGGTGATAGGGATATAGACTCTGATGACCATGATAATTTCTCTGATGTACCTGCTACAAGGGCTGAGGTCAAGTTCTCTACTAACACCAAAGCCCATACTACCCACAGGGGCGTACTCTTAGGGTCTCCTACTTCTCCAGACAGCCAAATGCCTTCTTGGCCTCCAACCCACAAACCCACTAACAAACAGTACACATCCACCCACATATAGATCCCAGGTTTCACCACACTCCCACAGACCATGAAATCCAATGTACACTCTTAGTCTAAAACCAAAAACTATACCCATCTTCACCCCAATCACCCTAGAGTCTACCTCTACCCTGACTAGCTCAGAACCCAGCACCACATCAATGCTTACAGCCTCCACTCTGACCATTCCAGAGTCCACCACCTCCACCCTAACTACCCCGAGCCCAGCAGCACACGCCAACCACCCAAGAGACCATCATCATCCCAACCACTCCAGTGTCCACCATCACCACAGTGTTCACTACCACCTGGTCATCTTCCCAAATGAGATCATTTAGAACCATTTTTTTACCACAGAACTCACTTTACTCTTAGAATCCATCACAATGTTTCCAGAGTTGAACAGCTTCCTAACTGTCCAAGAGATGGCTCAAAGGAATTCTGACACTTTCAAAAGCGATCCTTTGTTCAACTCTGAGTTCTGTTTCCTCCTCCCCCCGTGCTTCTATATTCTGGCTCTCCTCTGGCTCCTATTTGCCTCTGTGGTACTCATCTTGTTGCTGATCTGAATCTGGCACATAAAACCACACACTCTGGACTTGGGCCTCTCCACTGCCTTGGCCACAAGCACACACACCACAAGTCTGGAGGTTCAGAGGGGAAGACAAGTAACTGTGACCCGGGCCTGGCTGCTCTTCTTTCAAGGGTCACTCCCTACTTTCTGTTCTAGCCTTTTCCTATGGGTAAGGCCTAATGGGCATGTTGGGCCTCTGGTAGCAGGACGAAGGCCCTCAGCTCTGAGCCAGGGTCGTGGTCAGGACCTATTGGGAACAGTGGGTATTAGGTACTCAGGCCACAGTCTGTGAAGGTGAGTACTTTGAAGATCCTGAAAAACTGAAAAGGACTCTACTGGAATCTAGCTGGGAGTAGGGGGAAGATGAGACTGCCACAGGGGCATGCTATTTACTTTTTTTTTTTTTTGGTTTTTCGAGACAGGGTTTCTCTGTGTAGCTTTGCGCCTTTCCTGGAACTCGCTTTGGAGACCAGGCTGGCCTCGAACTCACAGAGATCCGCCTGGCTCTGCCTCCCGAGTGCTGGGATTAAAGGCGTGCGCCACCACCGCCCGGCGCTATTTACTTTTTTATTTGAAGCCCTCTCTTCACAACCAGACCTCACACATCAAGAGACGCAGTGAGGTGATGGAACCAGGTGGTCATAGAATCAAGCTCCCTTTGTTGCTTAGAGTATTGCCAGGCCATATGGTCACTGCTATCATTTTGGGGAAGAGCTAGAAAAGCAAATAGAAATAGAACTCCGTTCCCACATGGAAGAAAACTTGAAAAGCCATTAATCAAGACAGGAGCACTATCTCTAAGTATCATGAATATTTTTTCCCTGTAACACTTCTTAGTTTTCCACCAGCATTTCCTGTATAATAAAAATGTTTTTAAAAAGAATGTAGCTTTCTTTGGGACTTGAGAACGGCTAGAACACCTGGTACAAGAATTCCCAAGTCCTAACTGTCCCCACCCTGACCCCAACCACCCAACAAACCTCCAGTTGTAGCTGAGGGTGTGTAGGTGGACATAAGGGGTACTTCCTCTACCTTAGTGATTCTTCTGCAGGATTTCAGGACCCACCAGGCTACCTCAAACATCAACCTTAGATAGAACAATGCCCTAGAGCTGAGAGCCGGTGCTAAAGCCTGCCTGCCTGCAGCAGAGGTGGGTACATTCCTCACACCCACAACCTCCAGAGCACAAGTCTCCACACTGGCCAGGTCAGGACTGGGAAAGGGTGTGGTGAGTTTGACTCTTCTGAAGAGTCTTAGGTCTGTTCTTGCAAAGCTGGATGTAATAGGATCCTCCTATCCCCCAAACCCACTGATTCTGCCATTTCCTAATCTCACCAATGAGGCCTTCTTCCACACCTCATCTCAGTTCAGTCCAGGGCTTGGGGCCCAGAGAAGGGAAGGAAGTCAGCATCTTCCTGGCTCTACAGACTGCCCTTCTCCAGATGGTTCTAGACATTCCTGTGAACCTGACTGAATCTCTTTCATGCCTTCAACTCTTCCAGGTAGAGGGCAAACCTCAGAGGTTAGCCATCAAGGACTTCTCCTCATGGACTCCACCCACCAGTCCAGCTTCATCTCTCTTGGCACTGTGTCCTTGCACCACTGCATGTCTCATGGGTCACCTGTGAGAGCAGGACTCCTCCTCTGAGCCTGTCCTCACTCTAGCTAGGAGTTCTGCCTCTGCCCTCCTACCCTCCTCCTAAACCTGACTGCTACCGCTAAGGAGTTCTGTCCTAAGCTGGGCAGGGTGCACACCACTGCTACAGCCATTTCCAAATGTTTCTGAAGATGTTCCGTGGCTTTTTCAGGATGAGCTCCTCTGCTCAGAGCAGAATGCCCACAGACGAGGCTCGCCTCAAGCGTAGGGCAGCTTAGGGAGCTCAAGACCAGGAGGTGTGGCATAGCTCCAATAAAGGCTCTGGCCAGGGCAGAGGTAAGTTCCAAGCCTGCCTCCCACCCTGGGCTGTCCTTTCCTCAACCAGCGCTTGCTTCGCACCACCAAGGGGATGTGGCATGAGTGGTCGGGGTCTGCAAAGACACGTCGAGCACGATAACACAATTCATAACAATGAGCGTGGCAACCACCATGACGAAAATAATACACCTGAGATACCGGGAAAAGGAGTCTCATGTAGGCAGAAACTGGATGACACATTCATGGGAAAAGCTGGGGCATCACAACTTGGGTTCAGAGAAGGAGATGGAGACGGTGAGACTCCCGGTGTAATGTGAGAACTCTGATGAGCCTGAAAGGCAGGGAGGTAAGGGTTCAGTTAGAAAAACTTCTAAGAAATCCTAGTCAGCAAGCGGGGCATGCTGGCATGCACCTGTAATCCCAGCACTTGAGAAGTGGAGGCAGGAGGGTCAGGAGTTCAAGGCCAGCCTGGGTTACATCAGACCCTGTCTCAACAGAACAGAACAAATAACCAACCATAGTTACCAAAGCAGTCTTAGGTGGGACTCAAATAACAAAGGGTACAAGAGGCAGTTACAAATGATGTGTTACAGCCTCATGTGCTTTAATATGCTCACCTCCAATACTGAATATTATGCTACATATTGAGGGTAGGTGATGCCAGAAACTGTGGTAGAGGCCTTTCATCCCAGCACTCAGGAGGTAGGTGCAGGCAGATCTCTGAGCTCAAGGCCAGCCTGGTCTACCTAGCAAGCTACAGGCCAGCCAGAGCTACATAATAAGACCTTGTCTAACAAACAAACAAACAAACAAAACTAAGTATAAATGTGAAATGAACAGCCACTTTGGAAAGCTGGCAGCTTCCTACAATGTTGAGCATGCATTTCCCTACAGGGTTGCTCACAAGCATCTGTGACTCCAGTTTCAGGGGATCCTCCACCCCCTCCTGGCCTCTGCAGGCACTGCATGCATGTGGTATACAGACATTCAGGCAAACACTAAGACACACAAAATAAAAAGAAATAAAATCAAAAAGGAGGAAGAAATTAACAGTAGAGTCTACATAAATGAGGATATCTGTGTCAATGAGTTACCTTCATATTATAAAGATGTCCATTCTCCTTAAGGTAATCTATAAATAATTTTTGAAAGGAACTTGATACTCATTTAAATGTATATAACAGTGAAGAGGTCCATGAACAGCTTTGTCAGTTTTGAAAAGGACCCTAGAAGGGACTCAGCCTACCCGATGTTAGAACACATCACAAAAACCACAGTAAACACTCTAACAGCAGGAATGTGAGGTGCTGGGACCTGGAAGAACCAGGAGGGACCCAGAGCACCCAGATCCTAGGGCATCAGGGGGAGAGGCTGTTAGCCACCACAGCAGCCAGGGCCTCCATGGAGAGAAAAGCAAGCGAGCTGCTCCCACACTTCCCACCAGATACAAAGTAAACCAGGGAATCAACGGTTAAGAGAAAAGCAAAGCTAACTGAAGAGACTGGAGGATCACTGTGATTTGGGGTGGGAACTTTGTCTGTTTTTAAAAAACAATGTATCAAAAGCACTGCTAGAGAAAGAAACACTGGACAGAAGGTGGTGGAGCAGCTTTTAATTCCAGGACTTTGGGGGCAGGAGAATCTCTGAATTTGAGGCCAGCCTGGTCCACAGAGTGAGTTCCAGGACAGCCAGGGCTACACAGAGAAACCCTGTCTGGAAAAATCAAAGGGGAGGAGGGGAGAGAGAGAAGAGTTTATTCTGGGGTTAGAGAGATGGCTCAGGGGCTAAGAACTCTGGCTGCTCTTCTTGAGGTCCTGAGTTCAGTTCCCAGCATCTATGTGGTGGCTCATAACTGTCTATAATGGAATCTGATGCCCTCTTCTGACATGCAGGCATACAGCAAATAGAGCACACACACACACACACACACACACACACACACACACACACACACACACTACAAAGCTGGGTGGTAGTGGCACACTCCTTTAATCCCACAGCATGCTTGAGAAGCAGAGGCAGGGAGATCTCTGTGAGTTCAAGGCTAGCCTGGTCTACAGAGCTAGTTCCAGGACAGCCAGGGCTCTTACACAGACAAACTCTGTCTCAAAAAACAAAGAAAGAAACAAGAGGATAGGGGTGGGGCATGGAGAAGGCTCAGCCAGTACATACAAGCCTGACAACCTAGTTCAAGCCCACACTCCATGGAAAGACTGAAGGGGAGAAATGACCCCACAAAGTTGTTCTGGGACACCACATGCCTTCACTCACACACAAACACCCAAAAATAATTTTTTTAATTATTAATTAGCTGATTAGCTGGCAATTTTGTAGGGGTATCTGTAAAAAAAAAATAGGTATGTGCTAGACTCAAGGGCATCTGGTCACCTTATCTAATGGTTGGAATGTTTGGGATGTCAGGTACTTGCTCACCCCTGGGTGGACCCCTGGGTGGTATCAGCTTAAGGCTTTTCCTGGATCTGGGTGTTGCCTGCCAGTTAGCCTGTCACAGAAGCTGTGTCTAGGCCGCTAAGCCTGTCATGGCTGCTGTGTGGTCAAGCTATTTTGGAGCCCCTTCAAACTGCCTCAACCGGTGGACAATGAAAATCAACTCCCACACATGACTTCCACACACACACTGTGGCACCCATGTACCTGCATGCACATGCTATCAACCATTAAAAAAAAAAAAGCTGTCATGGCCTTTCACCTCAGCACTCAGGAGGCAGAGATTGCCATGACTTTGAGGTCAGCCTGGTCTGTGTAGGGAGTTCCAGGACAGGCAGGGTGAGAGTGGGTGGGTGGGTGGGGAACATGGAGACGGAGAGGAGAAGAAATGAGAGAGGAGAGGGGAGAGGAGAGAGATAGACCCTTTCTCAAAACAAAAAGAATGAAAACAAACAAGACAATAAAATTTCACTAGTAAGCTCAGGCTGACCTTGGACTCACTAGTCTCAAGGTCATGAGATCTATCTACCTGTCTCAGTGTCCCAGGCAGAATTGCAGGTATTAATCACCATTGGTTCCAATGTCAGTTTGTCACAGATTAGACTCATCTGAGTAGGGAGCCTCCCCTGAAGAACTGTGCTGACTGCCTTGACTGATGTGGGAGGACCCGTGGAGACTGCGGACTGACCTCCAGGCAGAAGTCCAGGGAAAGAGGGTATGTGGAAGGACATAAGGACATTCCCTCTCTTGACTTTCTTCTTTCTTTCTTTCTTTCTTTCTTTCTTTCTTTCTTTCTTTCTTTCTTTCTTTCTTTCTTTCTTTCTGTTTTTTGAGACAGAGTTTCTCTATGTAACTACCACCCTGGCTGTCCTGGAACTAGCCCTATAAATCAGGCTGGCCTCGAACTCACAGAGATCCATCTGCCTCTGGCTACCAAGTGCTGGGATTAAAGGTGTTCACCACCACTGTCTGGCTTCCTTTTTTTTTAAATTTCTTTTTGTGTGTGTGTTAAGGTGGGGCATGTCTGGATTTAATAAAGATCTTAGGCCAGGCTTCGGTGGCGCACACCTTTAATCCCAGCACTCGGGATGCAGAAGCAGGTGGATTTACGTGAGTTTGAGGTCAGCCTGGTCTCCAAAGCGAGTTCCAGGAAAGGCACAAAGCTACACAGAGAAACCCTGTCTCGAAAAACCAAAATATAAATAAATAAATAAATATCTTTAAAAGACTTTGTGAGAGCAGGGGGCCACACAACTCGGGAAACCCACACGGATGGCAACAGGGCTCTCAGGCCTCCAGTTAACCCCAAGGCTGGATTTCTACTGGCTTCTCCTAGCCACTGAGCATTGTGGCTTAGCTAATTAGGCACTCTCTGGTCTTAATTAGCTGCATGTGACCCTGGTTGGGCAGTCTTAGCTCTGTACAATCCTGGGCAGTAAATCCCAGGATGGCGCCTCCTCTTTTCAGAATCACTTCTAGGTCCACAGGCTTAGTCCATTATCATCACAGCAGCATCCATGGTGCTGGAGCAGTAGCTGAGAGTTACATCCTGGTCCTGGGATGGAGGTGGGTATTGAGAATTTATTTTATTTTATTTTATTTTATGTGTATGAATGTTTTGCCTGTATGTATATATGTCTATGTGCCACGTGCCCATGGAATTCAGAAGAACTGAAGAACTGAGGTTAGGAAATGGTTGTGAGCCACCATGTGGGTGCTGGGAATTGAACTTAGGTCCTCTTCAAGAGCAGTCAGTGCTCTTAACGACTGAGCCACACCCCCAACCCCATAGAGAGAGAATTTCTTAAATTTCATTTTATGTGTATGAATGTTTTTCCTAAAAGTATGTATATGCATCATGAGCAGGCTGCGTGCCTAGAAAGATCAGAAGAGGGCACAGGATCCCGTAGAACTGGAGGTGCAGATATTTGTAAGCCACCATGTGGGTGCTAAGAGTTAAACTCGAGTCCTTTGCAAGATCAACAAGTGTTCTTGTCCATTTCCTGTGGCTCCTATGTGCACATGTTCAGGGCTGAGCACTTGGATTGGACAACCAAAACTGGAGAAAACGATTCTCCCTCCCTCAGCAACCACTGCTTGTAGCTTTTCATTTCGGGGTCGGGTCTTGTGAAATTTCCCCCATCAACACTGGCATGTCCACTGGTGTATGGTCATTATGCAGGTCTGTTTATGCCCTCTCTGGCCCCCAGGGGGCACCAGACATGTATACATGCAGGCAAACATACATATAAAAAAAAATTGATAAACCTCAAAACAAGTCCCTAAATTCAACCCTAGCAACCCTCACTCCGCCCCCACAAAAAGCTGCGTTATAATAAACTGACGTTAGAAGAAGCAGAGAAAAGACAGACATAAGGCTGAGTGTGGTCACAAATGTCTATAATCCTAGCACTTGAGACAGAGGCAGGAGGATGTTGAGTTTGAGGTCAGCCTGGACTACAGAGCAAGACCCTGTTTCAAAAACAAAAACAACAGCGAAATAAACCGCCTACACAGAGAAAGCTAAGTGTCCTGGGGCAGGGGCAGGGACGGTAGGAATTTATACAGTAACTAATCCTGCCCAGAGCAGAGCAAAGTGCAGTTTCCCTCCTGAACTTGATCCAGGGCAAAAGCCCACACAGAACACCCTGCTGAGAGACTGCTCCTGTAGCATCCAAAGAGATCCCAAGGGGATCTGAGGTCACAGCTTAATTAGTGACTTAGCCATGTAGACACCTGCTGGAAACATTCTACTTCACACATGGAGACTTATTCTGACTCAGATCTGATTCCCCAAGCCCTACTCACCCCCCCCCACACTATTCCCTCCCTCTTTGTACCATGTCTCTTTTAGATAGTGTCTTGACATTTTGCCCAGGCTAGCCTCCAACTCCTGGTCTCAATGATCTTTCTGCCCCAAACTCTGAAATGCTAGAAGTAGCAGAGTAGGGTGGCACACACCTTTCTCGCCACATGCAAGACAGCGGCAGGCAATAATATTTTCTTCTCAGGTCCTTGATGAAGTTGAAAACCAGATAGTTATAATTATATGTTTCCATAGCCATGATAAAAGGATAAATTAGACATGAAACTTTAGACTCACAAAAATAAGATACATGATAGACTATTTTCTTTAATTTTGCTAAATATAAATAAATTAGATATTGTGACTATAATTCTTGCTTGGTAACTGTTCTGTTACATGTAATTTTACTATATTAAAGTTAAAAATTTCCTTTTTGATTAGACAGAATGGGGAAGTTCTGTGAATATGTATTGCTCCCACTGAAAAATAAACAAAGCTGTTTGGCCTATGACAAGAAAGCTTATAGCCAGGTGGGAAATCCAAGAGAGCTGGAGAGAAGAAGGGCGGAGTCAGGAGAGACCCGATCCAGCCACCCAAGAAGGAAGATGTGAAAGTACCGGTAAGCAATGTGGAAAACATAGATTAATAGAAATGGGTTGAATGAAGTTATAAAAGCTAGTCAATAATGAGCCTGAGCCATAGGCCGTACAGTTTGTATTAATATAAGCCTCTGTGTGTTTACTTGGGAATGAGCAGCTGCGGAACTGGGTGGGACAAAGGAAAATTTCCAGCTACAGAACTCTGAGTTCAAGGCCAGCCTGGTCTACATAGTGAGTTCCAGGACAGCCACGGATATATTAAAAAGACCCTGTCTCAGAAAAACAACGACCAATCAGAAATGCAGCAGGTGGGCACCACTGCAACCATAGCCCAGCCCCTTCCTCTACTTGACAACACCAGGCAGTACATCCTCCCACCAAGAGAGAACCAAATAAGACAGCTGAAATGAGGCCTTAAACACAGATCTCAGGAGTATGTGAAAAGGTTTCCACTGGAAAAAATTCATGATATCAAGGACCAGGAAGATTGAAAACTAAACAGAAATAGTCAACAGATCTGAAGCCCTAGAACATGAAGGTGTGAGGACTATCTGAAAACATGTTTTGAAACTCCATGATGAAATGAGGGCTAGGGATACAGAGCATGTGTGAGGGAGGCCCTGGGTTCAATTCCCAGGATGGATGGATGGAAGGAGGGAGACAAGGCTATCCTGGACTAAAAGACAAGGCTATCCTGGACTAAAAGACAAGGCTATCCTGGACTAAAAGACAAGGCTATCCTGGAGGTGGGGGAGAGGGGTGGGGATGAAGAGGAGGAAGAGAAACAACATCAGGAGAGCACACTGAAACAAAAACAGCCCTGAAGTCTGTCTAGGCTGAGGAAAGAGAAGTTCTAGGTTGTGATCCTAGAACCCCAGCACGCTAGAGGCTGAGGCAGGAGGACTGCGAGTTGTAAACTATCTGGACCACACAGTGAGACAGGGACCACACAGAGAAGAAAGGGAGAGAAATAGAGAGAGGAAGAGACAGACAGAGAGAGACAGAGACAGAGACAGAGACAGAGGGAGGGAAGGGAGGTGAGAGGAGAAGAGAGGAAGGGAGTGAGCAAGTGCAGGAACACAGGGCCGGAGAGATGGCTCAGTGGTTAGAAACACTGGTTTCTCCTCCAGAGGACTGGGGTTCGATCCCAGTGCCCACATGGTGGCTCAAGGCCATCTGTAACTCTAGTTCCAGGGATTTGGGCCTTCTTCTGGCCTCAGAGGGGTCCCGCACAGGTGATTCATGTAGATTCACACACCTGTGCATACATTAAAAAGAAAAGAATTTAAAAGCTAGCTACCCATGCCCCTACCAGGGAGCCAGAGAAGCAAGGCAACACCTGAGTTCCTTCATGGTTTCTGTGTCACCTTCCTGCTTCAGCTCCTGATGCCTCCTCTCCGTGGGGGACTGTGGCCTGGAAGTAGAAGACAAATAAATCTTTTCCTCCCTCAGGCTGCTTACGGTCAGAGTGTTTTATTACAGCTACAGAAATGAACCATGACAACCAACCACAAATGGGCTAAGCCCAGAGAACTCCATTCCAAGACATCATGTGCCCAGGTTGGCCTAAAATCCTCATGCTCTTCCTGCTACAGTGTGGGATTACAGACAGGGATGAGGATGGCTGGCTCATGATTGCATTTTTCCCCCAAACAAAAAATCTCTTTCAGAGCCAGGTGGTGGTGGCCCAAGCCTTTTAGTCCCATTACTCAGGAGGCAAAGGCAGGTATCTCTGAGTTCAAAGCCACCCTGTTCTACAGAGTGAGACCCAGGACAGCCAGAGTTTCACAGTGAATCCCTGTCTGGAAAAACCTATATATATATATTTTTTTTTCCCAAAAGTCTTTTTTATTTTATGTGTATGAGTGTTCTGTCTGCATATACACTGTGTCATGCTTGGTGCATGTGGAAGTCAACATCAAATTAAAAGAAAATTTTAAAACATTTAAAAAAATAACAAAAACCAAGACTGCGTTAAAAAATGCACCCAAAACAACAGTAGCTAAACAATGGGAATAAATGTGGTGGCATACATTCATTCCAGCTCCTGGGAGGCAGAGGCAGATCTCTGGGAGTACAGGGACACCAGTTTCCATACAGTCCAAGCCAGCCAGGAACATGACCAGAGATATGAGGAGACACCGTAACAAATAAGATAACCGAAGGATAAATAAAAGTGTGAAAAAGAGTCACCATTATGATCATTAGAGAACCACAGATTCAAACCATGATGAGCGGTCACTGCACACCCATCACAGTGGTTGTATCTGTAAAACCACAGTGGCCAGGAGGTGGGGAGCCAGTCACTCTCTGATGGGAGGACCCTACAATGTTCGGACAACTCTGGAAAGCTGTCTTTTTTTGTTGTTGTTGTTCTGTTTTGTTGTTTTTGTTTTTGTTTTTTGGTTTTCAAGACAGGGTTTCTATGTGTAGCCCTGACTGTCCTAGAACTCACAGAGATCCGCTTGCCTCTGCCTCTCAAGTACTGGGATTAAAGATATGCCCCACCACATCTGGCTCAGTTTCTTCCTTTTTAAAAGCATGTCTTCTTTAATTATGTGTATATGTGTATCTGTGTGTGTATGTGCATGTGAGTCCTGTGCCTGTAGAGGCCAAAAGAGAGTGTCCATCATCTAAAGCTGGAGGTAAAGAAGGTTGTGAGCTGCCCACCATGGATTCTGGGAACCAAACTCCAGTCCTCTGAAGGAGCAGTACCACTCCTATGAGCTAAACCATCTCTCTAGTCCCAAAATAGGACCCACAGATTGTGGTCAGCCAGCTGTAGGATTGAAGGAGATAGAGCAAAGCAGACAGTACTGTGGACAAGCCTACAGACAACATTACATTCCCAGGTCAGAAGTCACTGCTCACCTCCTCCAGGTGCCCATGCCTGGTGTCTTCCACTCCCTTCACATAGTGTACCTGGATCCAAGCAAGCTGACCAGCTTAGAAACTGATGCAATGGTAGCATTCCTGGTGGCGGAGGGGGACCAATAAACCACACTGAGACTCTGTCACATCTTCAGCTCCTAGATACAGAGGTTTGAACAAGTGATAAAAGGATAGAGGGGCAATCAAAATGTCTCACTAGGCCTGGTCGGTGGTACAAGCCTTTAATCCCAGCACTGGGAAGCAGAGGAGGCAGAGGCAGACAGATTTCTAGGAGTTCAAGGCCAGCCTACTATACAGAACAAGGTCCAGGACAGCCAGAGCTATATAGTGAGACCCAGGCAAAAACAAACAAACAAAAATGTCTCACTGCATAAATGGTACTCATCATGCAAGCTGGAAGAACTGCGTTTGGTCCCTGGAACTCACATAAAGGTGGAAGGAAAGAATTGATTCTACACAGTTGTCCTCTGCCTCTACATGTGTTCTGTGACATGTGGATGCACACGCGCACATATACACATACATAATAATAAATATATATCACTAAAACTATAAATGTAAGCTGGGCAATGGTGGCTCATAACTTTGATCTCAGCACTTGAGAGGCAGAGGCAGGTGAATCTCTCTGAGTTTGAAGCCAGCCTGGTCAACAGAGCGAGTTCCAGGACAGTCAGAGTTACACGGAGAAATCCTATCTTGAAAAACAGAAGAAAAGGTATAAATGTAGGGACTGAAGAGATGGCTCAACAGTTAGGAGCACTAGCTGCTCTTCCAGAGGCCCAAGGTTCAATTCCCAGCCCCCTCATGGCAGGCCACAACTGTCTGTAACTCCAGAACCAGGAAATCCGGCTTCCTCATACAGACATACATGCAAGCAAAACACCGGGCATATAAAATAAGAATAATTATTTGAAGAAGAATTTATTTTTAAAAAGTATAAGCCGGGCGGTGGTGGCGCACGCCTTTAATCCCAGCACTCGGGAGGCAGAGCCAGGCGGATCTCTGTGAGTTCGAGGCCAACCTGGGCTACCAAGTGAGTTCCAGGAAAGGCGCAAAGCTACACAGAGAAACCTTGTCTCGAAAAAACCAAAAAAAAAAAAAAAAAAAAAAAAAAAAAAGTATAAGTGTGCTAGGCAGTAGTAGCACACTTTTTTTTTTCCAAGACAGGGTTTCTCTGTGTAGTTTCGGTACCTTTCCTGGATCTTCCTCTGTAGACCAGGCTGGCCTCGAACTCACAGAGATCCACCTGGCTCTGCCTCCCAAGTGCTGGGATTAAAGGCGTGTGCTACCACTGTCTGGCAGCACACACTTTTAATCCCAGTGTTCACAAGGCAGAAGCAGGGGGATCTCTGTGAGTTTCAGGCCAGCCTGGTCTACGAATCAAGGTCTAGGACAGCCAGGGCTATTAGAGAAACCATGTCTCAAAAAACAAAACAACACAAAATGTAAATGTATGTAACAATAAATTTGAACATCTAAATGAAATAGATGTTTCTATTAGGAAGTATATATCAGGGCTGGCAAGATGGCTCATCAGGTAAAAGGAGCTTGGCATAAAGCCTGATGACCCAACTGGGATTCCTCGGACCCACATGGTGGAAGGAAAGAACCAACTCCTACACACTCTCCTCTCACCTGCCCACAGGTGTTATGGCATGTGTACCCCCACCCACATACAATAAATAAATAAATAACAATGTCATCCATCAACTAACCACTGTTTCTGTACTTGTGCACTAGGCAGGAAATCGTTGTTACTTTACGAGCCTAGACAGGGTTCCTGGTACAGGAACTGACACTGGAGGAAGGCAAAACACAGGACCACTTAGTAGACACAAAGAACATGAGTTCTTCTGTTTGGAAATTTCAACTTTCAGATCTTTGGAGAAACAGAACATGCTTCCTATTTCAGAATCTGAAAAATAACCAAAACTCTGACTTCCTGGGCTCCCTTGGCAGTTGGGCACCAGGCATGTGACTAACCAGACTCACATCCAGGCTTCCGTTAGCTCATAATCGCAGAGGAGGATGGGCAGTGTGGAGCTCTGCAGCCTCAGGAGTCGTGGAACAATGTCTGGCCTGGCAGCTGTGGCGATACAAGTTTCAGTGACTTGGTCTTGCAGCAGGGCAGAGAACTGCTCACCAGATTGGTTCTACAGCAGGGTTCTGGGAACTGTTCCTGGCCACATAACTCCATGTCTGGTTTTTCTGCCCAGAAAGTCTTTGAAGTAGCCAATGTCGTTTTTTGTTTTTGTTTGGAGGTTGAGACAGAAACATGTTAGGTAGTTCAGGCTGGCCTCAAACTCATTATGTGGCCAAACCAACCTCATCTTAGCCATCCCCCTGCCTCAACCTCCTCATAGTTGCTGGGATTAGAGGTATGCATCACCACATGCACCACAAGACATGGTAATGCTGTTTTGCCTGGGCTGGTGTGGAACTCCCATCTCAGCCTACAGAACCACTAAGGCTATAGCACTTGCTACACTCCCTGGCTCTAGCCATTTTTTTTTTTTTTGTTTTGTTTTGTTTTGTTTTTCAAGACAGGGTTTCTCTGTGTAGCTTTGCGCCTTTCCTGGAACTCACTTGGTAGCCCAGGCTGGCCTTGAACTCACAGAGATCCGCCTGGCTCTGCCTCCCGAGTGCTGGGATTAAAGGCGTCCGCCACCACCGCCCGGCCATTTTTTTTTTTAATAAAGTGCTGGGATTAAAGATGTGCACCACATCCCAGGCCTAGGCAATGTATCATTTTCCTGTGGCTTATACCTGAAAGGTGACAGCAATACAGTAGAAAAACCTCCACCCCCAAAGGCTCACCATCATAGCCTCCATCTCTGCTACCTTCTGCCTCACCTCTTGATTCTGCCCTGGTTGTTCCACGCAACACATGATGTAAGTGGCAAGTCCAGGAATCGGCTGCAATAAGCGTGTGTCTACCCCTTGTCCGGTCATCAGCGTGAGCAGAGATGGGAAAGCTCATGTTCGTGATCCCTCTCTGAGGAGGTAGGATCCTTACATCATGAGATGGGCAGTGACCCAACAGACCTAACAGCTGACTTTCTGCAACAGAGGACAAACCTAGGCTTCGAAATCAGAACAGTTCCCAGAGGGATGAATGTTGAGCTGGAACTCACCAGATGTGTGTTGGGAAAAGGTAATGAATGAAAGTTCAAGGACAGCAAAGAAGGATCAGGAGGTGGGGAGCACTAGACAAGGGGGCTGAGCAGGCAGGTGGGCAAGACTCAGACTAGCAGGCCCTGAAGGCCATGTTAGGTACTGCAGATGGCCTTCTGGAGCTCTCAGGAGCCATGATGAGTTCAAGTGGTCAACAGATTAGCACACTTGCAGGCAATTCTGTCATGGAAACTAGAAGGGAAGTTGGAGATTTCCGGAATACTACAGGAAAGGAGGAGATAGTGCCCAGGCCTGGGCAGTGGAGAATTGAAAGAATTGATAGAAACCAGAGTTGAATCAGCATTCTCGATAATGGGGGAGTCCGAAGAAGGCAGTAGCACTGGGAGTATTCAGATTGATCAGGTAAATGAGTAGTTGTGGACAACAGAGGAGGAGTGCTATTTCTTTGTGGGTTTGTTTGTTTTGAGAAAAAGTCTCAGGATACAGCCCAGGCTGGCCCTGAACTCATGCTCTTCCTGCCTCTGCTTCCCAAGGTTAGGAGTGTTGACAGTCCTGCACCTCCATGGCTAGCAGATGAAGCGATTTAGATCATGAAGTTGCTTTTTGGTGTATTGGAGGTTTGGGTTTGGTTGTTTTCTGTTTTGTTGTTTGTTTTTTGTTGTTGTGTTCATGAGAAGGGTCTTCCTTTGTAGTCCAGAGCTGGCTTCAAACTTAGGACCTTCCTGAGTCTCTCAGATGAGGTACATTGTTTCTGTACTTGTGGAACATGTAAGAAGAGAGGTCTGAGAGACAATCAGACCTAAGGATCTAGGCCTCAGAGAAAAGGGTCTGGAGCAGAGATAAAAACTTGAGTCTGGGGCAGAGGTGATTAAAGGCACAGCAAAGTATGTTCCAGGTGTTTATGGAGTATATGTTAGGAAAGCCCAAGAATGCTCTGAAAACAGGTTTACTGCTCCAGAAAGGTAGAGGAAGAGGGAGCCACAGAGAAGGCTGATTAGGACCAACCACACCAGCAAGACGAAAACCAAGCAAATGAGTGTCATTTGTCATGTCCCCAGGAGGGACTAGCCCAGGGTATGGATGTTGCAAAAACAGTTTAGAGAGCATCAGCCAAGAGCCCAGTGGATAGAATAGAGGGGGCCAGCAGCCCCAGGTTGGGGCGGGGGCGAATCAGTTTAGGGCTAGGAAAGGTGGCAGTGGGGTGTAAGGGAGCAGAGAAGGAAAATTTGGCATCTCTAAGAATAGCTATGGAGGGGGAGGAAAGAGGGCAGCAGGCAGAAGCTGCACAAAGTTGGTGGTTGGAGAGTCTCTAGATCTTTCCAGGGTGGCAGGAAAGGGAGAGTGTAAAACCAAAGAGGGTTCTGGGGAAAGCTGTGGAGAGAGATGATAAGGGCTTGTGGCTGGAGGGAGACTGTTCCCTGGGTCACAGGAGCTGGTTATCAGGTTGTCATTTCCTCCACAGGTCCTCTATCTTTTTCCTGCTCTTGGCCTGGCTCTCCTTGGAGCTGGAAGAGAGAAGGACCCAGTCATACCCTGGAAGAAGGTCCGTGCCTTCAGAGGTCTTTCTGCCTGACTGTAAGCTGGGGCTGGGACCAGAGGAGGAGGATCTGAGGGGGACTAAGACCAAGGACTGAGGACAGGGGTGGAAGAGAGGGAAAAGTCTGGGACGTATGGAAGCTGTTTCTGGAAGGCATCCTGAGAGCTAGAGCAGTGGAGGGCTGGAGCCTAGGAAAATTATGCCAAGGGCCAGGGTGGCATCCTTATAACTCCCTTTGCCCACAGGTTCATATGGCTCTCCTCATCCTGCTCTTCCTGCTGCCAAGTCCCTCACATTCCCATCCCACTTGTGATGTCTCCAAAGTGACCAGCTTGCTGGAAGTGAACTGTGAGGACCAGGGGCTGACTGCATTGCCCGCAGACCTGCCAGCAGACACAGGCATCCTCCGCATGGGCAAGAACAAACTGGGCACCTTCTCCACAGCATCCCTAGCGCACTTCACTCACCTCACTCAGCTGGACCTGGATGAATGTGAGCTGACCAGCCTGCAGACTGACGAGGAACTGTCGAAGCTGGATAACCTGAAATTATCCCACAATAACCTGCGAAGTCTGCCCTCCCTAGGACAGGCTCTGCCTGCACTCACTGTCCTTGACGTCTCCTTCAACCAGTTGGAATCACTGTCTCCTGGTGTCCTGGAAGGTCTAAGCCAACTCCAGGAGCTCTACCTGCAGAACAATAATCTGAGGAGTCTGTCCCCTGGACTCTTCCTGTTCACCACCAAGCTGAACAAACTCAATCTGGCCAACAACAAAATGTGTGAGTTACCCGCTGGGCTCCTAGATGGGCTGGAAGATCTTGACACCCTCTACCTTCAAGGGAACCGGCTTCATACAATCCCAAAGGGCTTCTTTGGGACCCTCCTCTTGCCTTTTGTTTTTCTCCATGGCAACACCTGGTATTGTGATTGTGATATCCTCTACTTCCGCAACTGGCTCCAGCAAAATTCCAACAATGTCTACTTATGGAAGGAGGGTGACAATGTCACTGTCTTGACCCCTAATGTGGCCAGTGTACGATGTGTCAATTTGGGCTCCGCACCTGTCTACTCTTACCCAGGGAAGGGTTGCCCTACCAGTGGTGATAGGGATATAGACTCTGATGACCATGATAATTTCTCTGATGTACCTGCTACAAGGGCCGAGGTCAAGTTCTCTACTAACACCAAAGCCCATACTACCCACAGGGGCCTACTCTTAGGGTCTCCTACTTCTCCAGACAGCCAAATGCCTTCTTGGCCTCCAACCCACAAACCCACTAACAAACAGTACACATCCACCCACATATAGATCCCAGGATTCACCACACTCCCACAGACCATTAAATCCAATGTACACTCTTGTAGTCTAAAACCCAAAACTATACCCATCATCACCCCAATCACCTTAGAGCCTGCCTCTACCTTGACTAGCTCAGAGCCCAACACCACATCAATGCTTATACAGCCTCCACTCTGACTATTCCAGAGCCCACCACCTCCACCCTTACTACCCCGAGCCCAGCAGCACACGCCAACCACCCAAGAGTCCATCACCATCCCAACCACTCCAGTGTCCACCATCACCCAAGTGTTCACTACCACCTGGGCATCTTCCCAAATAAGACCATTTAAGAACTATTCTTTACCACAGAACTCACTTTACTCTTAGAATCCATCACAATGATCCCAGAGTTGAACAGCTTCCTAACTGTCCAAGAGATGGCTCAAAGAAATTCTGACACTTTCAAAAGCGATCCTTTGTTCAACTCTGAGTTCTGTTTCCTCCTCCCCCTGTGCTTCTATATTCTGTCTCTCCTCTGGCTATTTGCCTCTGTGGTACTCATCTTGTTGCTGATCTGGATCTGGCACATAAAACCACACACTCTGGACTTGGGCCTCTCTGCTGCCTTGGCCACAAGCACACACACCAGTCTGGAGGTTCAGAGGGGAAGACAAGTAACTGTGACCCGGGCCTGGCTGCTCTTCTTTCAAGGGTCACTCCCTACTTTCCATTCTAGCCTTTTCCTATGGGTAAGGCCTAATGGGCATGTTGGGCCTCTGGTAGCAGGACGAAGGCCCTCAGTTCTCAGCCAGGGTCGTTGTCAGGACCTATTGGGAACAGTGGGTATTAGGTACTCAGACCACAGTCTGTGAAGGTGAGTACTTTGGAGATCCTGAAAAACTGAAAAGGACTCTACTGGAATCTAGCTGGGAGTAGGGGGAAAATGAGACTGCCACAGGGACATGCTATTTACTTTTTTTTTTTTTTTTTTTTTTGTTTTGTTTTGTTTTTTCGAGACAGGGTTTCTCTGTGTAGCTTTGCGCCTTTCCTGGGACTCACTTGGTAGCCCAGGCTGGCCTCGAACTCACAGAGATCCGCCTGGCTCTGCCTCCCGAGTGCTGGGATTAAAGGCGTGCGCCACCACCGCCCGGCAACGCTATTTACTTTTTTATCTGAAGCCCCCTCTTCACATCCAGACCTCATACATCAAGAGAAGCAGTGAGGCGATGGAACCAGGTGGTCATAGAACCAAGCTACCTATGTTGCTTAGAGTATTGCCAGGCCATATGGTCACTGTTACCATTATGGGGAAGAGCTAGAAAAGCAAATAGAAATAGAACTCGGTTCCCACATGGAAGTAAACTTGAAAAGCCATTAATCAAGACAGGAGCACTATCTCTAAGTATCATGAATATTTTTTCCCTGTAACACTTCTTAGTTTTCCACCAGCATTTCCTGTATAATAAAAATGTTTTTAAAAAGAATGTAGCTTTCTTTGGGACTTGAGAACGGCTGGAACACTTGGTACAAGAATTCCCAAGTCCTAACTGTCCCCACCCTGACCCCAACCACCCAACAAACCTCCAGTTGTAGCTGAGGGTGGGTAGGTGGACATAAGGGGTACTTCCTCTACCTTAGTGATTCTTCTGCAGGATTTGAGGACCCACCAGGCTACCTCAAATATCAACCTTAGATAGAACAATGCCCTAGAGCTGAGAGCCGGTGCTAAAGCCTACCTGCCTGCAGCAGAGGTGTGTACATTCCTCACACCCACAACCTCCAGAGCACAAGTCTCCACACTGGCCAGGTCAGGACTGGGAAAGGGTGTGGTGAGTTTGACTGAAGAGTCTTAGGTCTGTTCTTGCAAAGCTGGATGTAACAGGACCCTCCTATCCCCCAAACCCACTGATTCTGCCATTTGCTAATCTCACCATGAGGCCTTCTTCCATACCTCCTCTCAGTGCAGTCCAGGGCTTGGGGCCCAGAGAAGGAAGGAAGTCAGCATCTTTCTGGCTCTACAGACTGCCCTTCTCCAGATGGTTCTAGACCTTCCTGTGAACCTGACTGAATCTCTTTCATGCCTTCAACTCATCCAGGTAGAGGGCAAACCTCAGAGATCAGCCATCAAGGACTTCTCTTCATGGACTCCACCCACCAGTCCAGCTTCATCTCCCTTGGCACTGTGTCCTTGGACCACTGCATGTCTCATGGGTCACCTGTGTGAGCAGGGCTCCTCCTCTGAGCCTGTCCTCACTCTAGCTAGGAGTTCTGCCTCTGCCCTCCTACCCTCCTCCTAAACCTGACTGCTACCGCTAAGGAGTTCTGTCTTAAGCTGGGCAGGGTGCACACCACTGCTACAGCCATTTCCAGATGTGTCTGTCATCCTCGTGCTAGACTTCAAACTCCTCCAGGTGCAGGGCTTCAAATAACTCCAGGCAGCCACCTCTGGTGGCCTAGGACAGTGTGCATGGAAGGACTAGGGAAGGAGTGGCCGGGGCCCCAGCACCCTCTTTTTGTGTTGAGGCTCTGCCAAGGGCACAGTTTGCACCTGCTGCCTGCCTGTTTCCCGGTCTGGCATGCAGCCCTCAGGCTGCCCAGCACTCCTCCTGGTTTGACCTTCCCATATCTTTTTATGGTCCACGAAGTTTGCAGGATCCTTGAGGCCCTGGGAACCATACTTAAGAAATGGATGAAAAAAAATCACTTTCCCCAGCCAACCCAGTTTCTGATCAATATTCTTTCTTTCATCAATCCTTGGGTTGCCTCCCAGTGTGCACCCTCCAGAGATTTGGACTTCTCTCTCCACCCCTGTGGCTCCATCCTACAGTCCAACTTAGTTCTTTTTCTCTTTTAATTTTGTGTCCTGGAACTCATGCTGTAGAGCAGGCCGGCCTGGAAGTCAGAGAGACCCACCTGCCTTTGTCTCATGGGACTAAAGGTGTGCGCCACCGGTGCCCGGCTCTCCTTTTTAATTTTTTGAGACATGGTTTCTGTGTGTAGCCCTGGCTGTTCTTGAACCGACATCTGCCTGCCTCTGCCTCCTGGGGTGAGAATAAAGGCATGTGCCGACACACCCCACTTACTTCAATTACACTCCGCACCCCCTCCCTCTTTATGCTGAAAAAGCAGTCATGAGATCCCAGAGGCCTTTCCTGAGAACTGTGATATGGTTTGTAAGGCTGCTGCAGTTTTGGGCAAATGGCTTGCAAGATACACACAAGGCCCAGTTCTCTCTCTCTGTCAGCTGCTGAAGCACGACTTATTTACATAGTATTTTCATAAAACCAGTCGGTGATTTTCTTTAATATTTTTTGTTAAAAACTCCAGTCTGTTTTCCAGAGACATCGGCTTCTTTGTGCAGTGAGCTCCCCCTAGGGTCCTCAAGACTATCCAGATTTGGGGTTGGTGTTATCAATCCAATTTATTAATTTTGTCCTCAGGGAGGAGGAAGCCATATCCTTCCACCACAGACCCTTGTGGTCATGTGGATAGCTTCTGCTCTCTCCTATCTCCTCAGCTCTATCTTGGTTTCCCCGGAGAGAGAGGTCTGCTGTCTTGTGTGCCCTGAAACTAACACCCAAGAGGCGACTAGAAGTCCTCAGGGAAGTTTCTCAGTCCTCCTAGGAATAGCCAGGGACAGAACAATCCTAAGCATCAGGCCAGGCATGGCAAGCTGGAGCAGGGGCAGAAGAGATTAAAGTTCTTAACCGCAAAGGAGTAAACCACACTGGAGAGGGAAAATAAATAGAGGAGTCCAGGGTAGCAGAATCAGGCCCCCAGGGCGCACCAACTGGAGGAGCAGTAGGTGACCCAGGAGCCCTGGCACTCTAGTCCCAGGACCTTGCCACATCAGCCACTGAGGAAGAGACGCTTGTAGGCCTTGTTCATCTGCTCCAAGAAGATGAAGGTGAGGACAGTGTGGGGGCCCAGTCGGGCATAGTATGGTGTGAAGCCCTTCCACAGGCTGAAGAAACCCTCATAGCGGACGACTTTCATCAGCACATCCTAGACAGACAGGCCGGTAAGTGCTGGGGCTGTGACCTGGCCTCTAGGACTCTGTCCCTATACCCAGCTCCCTCTATATCCCTCCCAGGGCACCCACCACACTCTGACCCAGGCTCCCCCTCCCTGCCGCCTCACCAGCCCGTTCTTGTACTCTGGCTTCCCATCAATCATTCGCATGTTCTGGATCCTGAAAGAGAGGAAGCATGTGCGTGAAAGACGAAAGAAGGCCTTCCCAGAGTTCTCCAGTCCCAGGCTACAGACTCACCTAGTTTTGACAATGTCCACAGGCATGGAAGCGGCAGTGGTGACCAGGCCACTGATCATGCTGGCACAGAAGTGACACAGAATATTGTCTGAGAAGTAGCCTGGGAGGGGAAGAAGCAGAGGGTGGTGGCCAAGTCTCGGGTGGCTCAGGCCAGACTGGGCAGTGAGGATTCAGCTCTGGGTCTCTCACCTGAGTCCAGCAAGAACTGTTTGGATTGTGAGTAGGATGCAAGCTGGGCAGCGTTGACGACGACAGCTCGGGCCATGGTAGGGATGCAGCCCTGGAGGTGACAGAATGGAGGCAATGGAGAGAGGAGAGTAAAAAAAAAAAAAAAAAATACCAGAGACTTGACCCCACACCCCCCCCCCCCCAAGGCTCAAACCTTTTTTTGCTCACCCGCCACAGTGTGGGGACTCCCTCTTCCCTGGCAATTCGAATTAGGGCATTAAACACATTTTTGTAGCCACGGCGCTGGTCAGCTGGAAGCCTGGGGAAAGGGCAGGGGAAAGCCAAGATCAGGATAGCTCAGGGGCCATGGGATCAAAGAAAGGGAGGCCTGAGCAGGTGAAGCGCCCTGCTGTAGAACTCGGCTAAGAAAAACATGTAAAACCTAGTCCTTTCGTTCTAGATGCCAGGAACGGGGCTGGAGTCGGGCTCAGAGCTGGAACTCACCGGCCATCAGCGGTCATCCTGATGAGCGCCACCTCGGCTGGCGTCCCCACAAATGCACCAGTTGCACCTGCCGTCATGCCGATCAGGGCTTTCAGCAGGAAGCCAGGGGGTGTCCCATCAGCCCCAGTCAGGCGCTCAAACAACACCGTATAGATGCCAAGCCGAGTAGTGGTGTAGGTGGCCTGGCGCAGTAGGCCAGCGGACAGCCTGAGAAGCAGAAATGTCAGCACAGCTTATCAAGCCAAGGTCTGGACCTGCCAACCCACACCCTCCCTTCCCAACTTGAGGCCCCAGTACCCAGTATAAATGCCCTTCAGCCCTTCTGCCTTCAGGATGCTGGTGAGGGCATGGAAGCTGGTTTTGTACTCTCGAGTCTTGGCCCCTTCACCACTCAACTGCATCCGGTTCTTCACCAAGTCCAGAGGCTGCACAAAAACGGTAGCACCCATCCTGAAGTGAAGCAGTAAGACAGGAAAGCAATCAGAGATCAGCTGTCCCAGCTCTATTCGTATCTACTGCAACCTGGCAGCAAGAAGTTACAAAGGTCAGGGCCTGACATGCAGCTACGGATTCAGGAGGCTGGTGGGCATGAATATCAGTGTGTGCACGAAGGGCAGTGTGCCAGAAAAGAAGTTCAGATGTCCAGTAAAGACCACGCAAATCAAAATGGTTCAGGCAGTTCCTCAGTGTTCAAGCAGAATTAGACCACAGGCAGTCTGACTAAGGAGTGGAGAGGGCATCCACAACCTAGGACTCCAAGCAGTCCTCTAACAAAGCGTTTGAACAACCTAGACCCACCACACAAACAGGCCAGTGAAGCAATGGTGGTGGAAACACCGGGCAATGACCCTTGACTGCAGCCAGCCCAGTAGGGGCCCCGCAATGGGTGAACAGATCCTGGCAGCCCATCAGGGACCTCGCAATACTCTGGACATCATGGTGAGCCCCCACCGGCTCAATTTACTGGAACATACCCCGAGATGCACTGGGCCCAGTTGCTTGCGCCCGTCCCTTCCTCCTTTTTCCCATCCCTGGGGCCTGAGCTTACCCAGCCAGGCCCCCAAACAGGAACTTGACCGACTTAGGGGAGGTACGGGGCTTCCCGTCCATCCGGCCAGCGCCGGGACTCGCCGTCGCCGCCATCGCCCCTTGATGGCCCTCGGCTTTGGGTCCCGTGCACGCACAGCCCCGCTCGCGCCCAAGGTGACACCAGCGCGCAACAGGGCGAGGGCGCGCGCGCGCACGCCCCTCCGACAGGCAAGTCTGGCTCCAGCTAGAAACTGGAAAGGGGGAGGAAAGGGGGCGCAGGCGCGTAGCGCAAAGGCGGCCGGGAATGAGGCGGGGCTAGGATGCGTGAGAGAAGGGGCGTGGCTGACTTAGGAAGCCTCTGTGTAGCCCCCGCCCTTGCCGAATTGGAATCGCGGGAAACTAGTTTGTTTGAAAATCTCGCGAGAGCGAGTGAGTCAGCCGAGTTAGGGCTAGGAGACCTCTCGCGATAATTTCAGAGGCGAGACCGGGTGGTGGTGAGCACTCTCGCGATACTTGAAGGTACCGCAGCGACCAGAAGGAGGAGAGGTTTGTAAACAGGGCAGCTCCAAGATCTCGGGCACTGAGGGGAAAACAATTAGGTCGTCTTCTGGGCATCGGAGCTCCCTCCATCTCCGCAGGAACTCTCTCCATGTCTAACATTTCTTTCAACCGGCCTTTTAGGACCGGAAGTCCTCCGTCCTGAGCGTCCAATACTGGAAGCGGCCTTTCTTTACCGGAAACCCTTTTCCAGGGGGATCGGAAGACGGCCTACCCGGCCGGAAGTCCCACCTCTTTGAGATTCCCCCACCCTTCCTTAAGTTTTTCTGTTACTTATTTGCCTTCGTTTCTATTCTCCGTTTTATTTCTGCACCAGAGAAAGCTACATTGTCTCCCTCCCAGCTCCACTAAGCTGGTTTCATACCTCACTTCCCGAGTAGTCGGAGTTCCTTCCCTGACGCCCCCATGTAGCTGAGAAAGTGGGACCTGGGGGTGGTTGGACCCCTGGGATCCTGAAGGAGAGGCAGAGAGGGCGCAGAACTCGGCTTCTGCTCCTGCTATCAGGACGCGACCTCTTCAGCCTTACCCCTCCCGCTGCCATGCACCCTGCGGCCTTCCCGCTTCCTGTTGTTGTGGCTACTGTGCTGTGGGGAGCATCCCCTATCCGAGGGCTTATTCGAGCGGTGAGTCTAAGGGTCGGATGGGGGAAGGGTGCTGAGAAGGGGTTTCAGGCTGAAGAGAGAAACATGGACTATTTTGTTTGCAGACCTCGGAGCACAATGCCAGCATGGACTTTGCAGACCTCCCAGCTCTATTTGGGGCTGCCCTGAGCGAGGAGGGACTCCAGGTGATGCTCTCCCCATTTCCTTATAGTCTCTATCCTGGGCAGGGGTTGAGTAGCCGTGCTCTGGATCAAACTGGAGGTAGGAAATAGTCGAGTTGCAACGGAATGCATTGGGCTGTTGATAGAGCTCAGTGGTAGGGTGCTTACCTTAGTAAGATTGAATCACCAACAACAGCCCCCCCCCCCAAAAAAAAAACCCTAAGTACATGACCATGTCCAAAGCAGAGTCCAGAATCTAGAGGTAGAAGGCAGTGTCCTAGAACTCCCAAATATAAGAGGCAGACTGAAGAGTGAATTAAGATGAAAAAAAAAAAAAAAAGCAACAAGCCAACAGGTGCTTATCAGTAATGTCTCTAGAGCTTACTGTTTGTATGGATGGCTGTGGACTCTTAGTAAAATGGGTAATAGAAATTAGCTTAGAGCTAAGTTATGTTAACTAGTAAGTGAGGTAAGCATGTCTGCAGTAGGTTATTATAAAATTCTTGCCACATAGGAAGAACTCAGTTGGACCATGGATAGCAGTTGTTTGTAAGATAGATAATTGGAAAATGAAGCAAATTGAATGTGTTGTATGTACTTGAAAGACGAATGTGGGGGGAAAAAACTTGAAAATGACACGGATGAGTAGCAGGCTGTATTATTATTAGTGGGAAGTTGGAAACAAAAAAACAAAAAACAGAACTAAACTAGCCTAGAATTTTGAGAAGTTCAGGGAGCCTCTGCTAAAGGGATGTTTTGTACTGTAAGTGCATCTTCGGGAAGCTAAGAGATGTAGATTCTGCTTTTTTGTTTGGTTTTTTTAGACAGGTTTCTCTGTGTAACCCTGGCTGTCCTGAACTCTTTGTAGACCAGGCTGGCGTCCATTCAAAAGACCTGCCTGCCTGCCTCTGCTTTCCAGGTGCTGGGATTAAATGCATGCATTACCATGGATGCCTGAAATGTAGTCTCTGATTTGGGTGGGATGCTGAGACCTCAAGAATGAGTACCGAGAGTAGAGCTGCAGAATCCAGTGTGTGTGTAGCATTGTGCTGGATAGGCTCTGTGGGAGGCAGAATGTAAAGATGGAAAATTCACTGTTTGCTTTTCTCCCTCAGGGGTTCCTTGTGGAGGCCCACCCAGAAAATGCCTGCAGTCCCATTGCCCCACCACCCTCAGCCCCGGTCAATGGGTCAGTCTTTATTGCACTGCTTCGAAGATTCGACTGCAACTTTGACCTCAAGGTTGCTAAATGTGGAATGGGAGTTGGTAAACAAGGTAAATGACACAGGAGAGGCACGGTTTATGACTCCTGTCCCTGCTGTCTCTCTAGGTCCTAAATGCCCAGAAAGCTGGGTATGGTGCAGCTGTGGTACACAATGTCAATTCCAATGAGCTTCTGAACATGGTGTGGAACAGTGGTAAGGCTGGGGACATCTGCACTGCTGGGTTTTCAAGTAGGAGGACTAAAGGCCTAAAGAGGCCAGTTCTTTAGGTGGGACGGGCAAAAGTGTCAAATGCCAGTTCCAGAAATTGTGTGGAAGGCTAAATCCCTAATATCCTGTTCCCTGCAGAGGAAATCCAACAGCAGATCTGGATCCCATCTGTATTTATTGGAGAGAGAAGTGCAGAGTACCTACGCGCCCTTTTTGTCTATGAGAAGGGGTAGGACATATGCTTTCTTCCCACTTGTCTCCCACCCTTTCCATGGATGGCAGCCTGGAGCCCAAGCCTCACTACGCTATCCACTCAGGCTCAAGTTCTTCATCTTTTTTTTTTAAACTTTCTCTTCACCCATGTCTTGTCCCAATCCAGTTACCTGGTTTTGCCTGGCTTGAGGCTTGTCTTTGTTTCCTCAGGGCGCGGGTGCTTCTTGTTCCAGACAATAGCTTCCCCTTGGGCTATTATCTCATTCCTTTCACTGGAATCATAGGACTGCTGGTTTTGGCCATGGGATCAGTACTGGTGAGTAGCTATGGGAAGAACTTACAAGGCCAGACTGGGTCTGGAGATGGGAAGTGCAGTGGTTGTTGGATTTTCCTTTTTTTTTTTTTTTTAATTTCCTTAAGCCTGGCCCACTCTCCCTTACCCCTAGATAGTTCGTTGTATCCAGCACCGGAAACGGCTCCAGCGGAACCGACTTACTAAAGAGCAACTAAAACAGATTCCTACTCATGACTATCAAAAGGGTAAGGACATGGGAACAGAGCCCATCTTAAAGGAGTTTTGAGCCCAGTAGATCAGGGCCACAAAAAGCGGTGAGGTGCTAGAAGATGCCACCATTGCTGCTTTTTTACACACAACCAACCACAAAGGAGGTAGGGTAGAGCAGGAGTAGAAAACAAAGATGATCAAGTAAAAATTTTGACCTTGTGTGAGTGTGGAGAGTGGAAAGATGTAAGGAGCTGGGAGGACTCAGACTGCAGGTGAGGAGTTGGGTTAAGCCCAGGAGCCTCCAGTGCCATATAAGGTTATAGCAGAAGCCTCGTCCCTCCCACTTCTGCTTTCCCCTCCTACCCTCCCCCCAACCCACTTCCCTTATCTCTCCTTGTCCCCTCTAGCCCCATGCTTTTCTGTGGCCTGCCCTAAGAGCTTGTACTGGCTTGGGAAAACAATTCTTACACGTTTTAATTCTAGCCTTCCACTATGAACTCTCTTGGGCTTGGTTCTGAATGGCTCAGTGAATCCTTTCTTTCTCCCAGGAGATCAATATGATGTCTGTGCCATCTGTCTGGATGAGTATGAGGATGGGGACAAGCTTCGGGTACTTCCTTGTGCACATGGTGAGGCCACTACCTCTGCTTATGCCCTACCTGCAGAGCCCAGGTACTTTACACATTCCTTTCCATAGCCTATCACAGCCGCTGTGTGGACCCCTGGCTCACTCAGACCCGGAAGACTTGCCCCATCTGCAAACAGCCTGTCCATCGGGGTCCTGGGGATGAGGAGCAGGAGGAAGAAACTCAAGGGCAAGAGGAAGGCGATGAGGAAGGGGAGCCAAGGGACCAACCTGCTTCAGAGTGGACCCCACTCCTGGGCTCCAGCCCTACTCTTCCCACCTCCTTTGGATCTCTAGCCCCAGCACCCCTGGTCTTTCCTGGGCCCTCTACAGACCCCCCACCCTCCCCTTCATCTGCTGCCCTGGCCTGAAACTCCCACACTTGGGACCTCTGGTGATCTATTTGCACAAACTCTTCCTCCAGTCTAACAAGCTGAGGGATAGGGGACATTTCCACCCCAGGTTCTCAAACTGGCCTCATCCTTTTGAGGTGGCTGGGAACCTTAGGGACATGGTCTTTACTTCTTGGGTTAATAAAATTGTTTTTGTGGACTAAGAAAGAGTAAGATCATTTTTATACAGGTGAGATTCTGGAAAAAGAATCACCTCATGAGATGAACTTGTCAGGGGGACAGCCCCAGCTGCATTTGCTATGACTCAGGGAGGGGGAGCCCCACCTACACAGGATGACTCAAGTGGCCCTGCCTCAGCCGCAGGCTTGGACCCATTCTCTGGTCTAGATGGCTATGTTCCATTATACACATTCAACTGGGCCCGAAATGGAAATACCACTATAGAGGGGCCTTGGGCACATGAAAGAATGCTTAGTCTTGGGGGCTGAAAAGCAGAAAGGAAAGGAATGCAAAGGGTTCAGTCTGGACACAGCCAAGAAGCAAATAGCTAAGCTCAATGGTGGTGGGCCACAGCGCCTGCCTCCAACTAATACCCCAAGTGCAAACCACACAGGACCTTGTTAGTAGAATCTTTTTTATTCAGAAAAAAAAAAAAGAAAAAAAAAAACCCAAAAAATTTTTCCAAACACACACAGGAGGGGGTATGGGTAAGGGGAGGTATCTGTCTGTCCAGCCCCAGCCCCCGGCCCATGTGGTTTTGGCAGCAATAAGGGAAATGGGGTAATGGCCCAAAAAAATAATGGTGTGTGTGTGTGTATGGAAAGAAGGGGTGCAAAAGCTGAAGGGAGCGGTGGGGGAGGGGACAGATGAGGTCAGTACTGGGAACGCCGCAGGTGGGAGGCCATTTCATAACATTTCTTGTTGATCAAACCACCGTGGACACCTTCTTTGCCCATCAGCAGGACTAGCGCTGGAGGAAAGAGAAAGGAGGCTAGGACCCAGGTGTCACAATTCAACCCTGCCAGCTGTTCAGCAGCTGTCCAGCCCTGGGGGCTGTAACCTAACCTCATTCCTCCCAACCACCCCCCCAACACACACAGGCAGGCTGTCAGTCACCCTAAAACAATAGAGCTTTTCAAAGGAGAAAAAAAAATCTAGCTTAAAGACTAGTGAAGAAAATGCAAAATGTAGAGGTCACACACAGGCTGTAGACTTGTATGGCTAGGAACTGCTGTGGATGAGCTTCCTACCTCTAAAGTTTACAGGACTCAAGATTAGAGCCAACACTGACTTAAGATCCCAATAACCTACACCAAGCAAACTAATCTCAAAAAGCTTAAGGCAGGAAGGGACTTACTTAGGCAGTGTTATTTAGTCCCTTTACAAGATGGGGAGCCAGAGGTAGAAAACCCAAAGGTTCCCACATCCAGCAGACCGTGAGTAAAATACTGTATTGCAACCTTCACATTGAGGAACCACAGAAAACCCCCTACCGATTAACAAAAGAAGATACATCAGGGATTTCAAAGCTTGAGAACCAACCATTCAAACTCAGAAACTTACTCTTGGCAGTCATGGTGACAGTGACATTGAAGGTTGGGGCTCCTCCGGTGCTCTTGGTACGAAGATCCATTGTAAATTCCCCATCCTGCAGCAGTGAGTCCCGGATCACAGAACATTTCTGGCCCCCAAGTGTCAGCCCATTCACGAAAAAACTTGACCGGTCTTTGCCTACCAGGACACCAACCTCAGCTGGCTGGAAGAATCAGAATCAATCACCTCATTAAGTTAGTGCACCGGCTAACTCGTTTCCCAAGAATCCACTTATTTATCCTGGAGTTGGGGGTGAATGTGCTTCATACACACCATCAAAACTTGGGGGGGGTGCAGAAAAAGATCATAATCCTAAGGTCTAATAAATGGGACCAAGGAAGAAGGAATAATACTTCTCTAAAGACTTAGGCCTTGATGTTAAATAGGGAAAGCAAAGGGAGAAAAACCTGGGTACCAAAAATCAATCAATGATCCAGGGGGAGCCTTTGGATGCTCAGAACAGTCCTTCAGGAAAAGCAGAAGCGGAGAGGGTGAGGGAGGGGGCAGGGAAGGAGGAGAAGCAACTTTGTCCTTATTTGGTCAAAGGTTCTGCAGGCGTTGTTAGGAACCCGGACGCCTGGGTCTCCCGGTAACCTAGAGTTTAGGTCCAGGTATCTACGCCCCACGATGAGGAAGCCGACCCCTGGGGGCTTTCTAGGAAAGTTGAGAAAGTTTTAAGGGTTGGGGGACTAGGCTGTCTTGAGTCTAGACATTCCGGGGAACCTTTCTTCTCCCCCCTTAAACCCCAAACCCCTATATCCGGTACCCTCCCGCCCGGAAATCCCCTTCCCCCCCCATCCGAACTTCCGCTCCCCCTCCCCACTTCCGGGCAGTGTGGCCAGGGAAGGTGGTGGGGACAGCAGCAACCTTATTCCTTCACTTTTACGGTGTCAGAACTTCTCACAAAGTTCCCTTACTCCAGGCCGGGCCGGATGGCGGGAAGGGAGGGTGAGGGGGACTTCCGGGTTTGGCTTCACAGGAATGTTGAGGCTAACGTGCCGAATTGGGGGGTGTGTGTGAGTGCGTGTGTGGCGGCCTCGCCCTCTCTAACGGAGTTGGGAGGGGCAGGCAGCTCCCGGAGGTCGGGCAAGGGCCCAAGGCCACGCGCCTGCAGCTCCCACCAGCGCAGAGGCAAACAATGGTGGAGGGAGCGCGAGCGGGCGGCCCAGAGGGGAGCCGAGGCTCCCCGAGCCCCCTTATCAATCACAAGCCCAGGCCAAAACGCAGCGCGTGCCTGCCCCGCCCTGGAGGAGGCGGAAGTGGGCCGCCGCACCGGGCGGCGCGCCCCTCCCCGCCCTGTGCCCCGGATGTAACGCCCCGTCGCAGAAAGCGGGGTGGCGGGCGGGATGGGCGCCGCCGCCGCCGCCGCCGCCGCGGAGCGTAGGGCTCGGGGGGCAACCGAGGGAACCTAGATCCATGCAGCCGCCGTTCGCGCCGCTTCCAGGCAGAGGGACCAGATCCCGGCCTCTCGCTGCCTTCGCTAGACTGCGCCCGCCCCCACCCAAGCCTCTCCCCGAGGGTCTAAGCCCCGTCATTGCCCCGGACCGCACAAGGCTCGCAGTACCGTAATGCTAACGAAGGTCTTCCCGGGGACGGCGGCCCAGACGGAGGGCGAGTCCTTGTAGCCTACGATGGCCGCGTCCTGACAGGTCCCGTCCGCCATGAGGCTGTCGATGTAGGCGTTCCACCCGGCCATGGCGCTGCTGCTGGGGCTGCTCTGCGGGCTGCTGCTGGGGCCGCGGGCTGGGCTCGGGCTGGCGGGCGGGGGGAGGCAGAGAGCTCGGGGCACGCGCTGCCGTCCGGAACGCGGCTCTGTTAGCTGTGCAGCAGCCCTCGCACCGCCACTTCCTGCTCCTCCCCCCCCCCCCTAGATTTTTATTTGCAAAGGGCGGCGGGGCGGGGCCTGCTCCCCATTCCCTCCCTCCACACACACCCCCCCCCTCCCCGGCCTGGCCAGATAGCGAACTTTTGCAAATGCAATTTTAAAAAGCCCTCCCCCCCCACCCCCACCCCCCCCCGCTTTTGCAAAATTTGCCGAGTTCGATGGAAAGCCGTGCAAAAGGCTGGCGTGGTGGTGGTGGTGGTGGTGGCGACGGTGGCAGGAGCGAGGTTTAGGTTAGGGCTCGCTCCAATTCATACTGAATACAAACCCCTTCGGCATAAAAGGAGGAAGCCGGAGGGAGACGGGAGAGAAAAAGGAGGAAAATTAGTAAGGTTGAGCACATTCAAGTGGGTGCGGGGAACCCAGGGTTAAACCGAATGATTCCCCCACACACTCACACACACCCCCACCTCCGCGGGAGGGAAGGAACGGCGGGCGGCGGCGGCGGCGGCGGCGCGTGCGCCCGCGCCTGCGCCGGGGCCGGGAGAAGACAGCGCGTGGGGCGGTTGGGGCTAGCGGCTGGCGGCGCGAGCGCGCGCCCGGCGGCGGCACCGATCTGGACCTTCCTCGGAGGGAAGACGCGTGTGTCCCCCCCCCCCCCCACCAGGCGAAGCGGGCAGAGGCCCTGGCCTGTGCGCTGCTGCCTACTCCATCCACTTTGAATTTTTTTTTTTATTTAGACGACAAGGGAGCAAAACTAAATTTGATCGCACACTCCGGTCCTTTCCAGTGGTAAAGGTCCCCAACCCAGGGCACCTGTCCCAACTGTCTGCCGGAGACGCACACGCCGGGCTCGCTCGAGTGCATCCCTACATTCTAGGGGAATCATTCCTTCGCTGGATCCGCTCCAGCTCAGAGCCTCGCCCTACTCCTGAACCCTCTCTACAGAGGTCACTGAACAGGGGCGCCAGCCGGGTGACACGGGCGGGACTCTTTTCAAGGCGGAAGAATACTAAAGTCCCAAGGATGGCAACTTTTACAAGAAGGGGAAAGTCCCCTCTACGTTGGGCCCATCGGGCTTTTCTCCCCCCCCCCCCCCCCTAAAACTTTTGCTAAGTACTTGTGTGCGTTCGGCTCACTAGCCGCCCTGGGGGCTGGGCTGGGGCGGGAGGCGGGGACGGCAGGCCGGTGAGGCTGGCGGGAGTAAATGAGTCACTCGGGACCCTCGCCGCCGAGGGGCTCGGCTGCTTCCGGTCCCCCGGAGGAGGGGCGCCAGGGTTTGAAGCCCCTCCTGGTGTTAAGGACCGAGTTCGCTGCGTCTCTGGAGGCCTGTTGGGCTCCCTGATGTCCACCCCCCAAACCCTGGCTCCCCCACGCCCCCGAGCCCCGGTTCTTCGACAGCCGCGTGGCTGAGTCCCGGGCGGGGCTGCGCTGGGGCACGTGGCGGCGCTCTACGCCCGCCATCCCCTGACCTCTGGCCGGTGCGGCGGCGCGCCTCCCCGCCCCGGGTGGAAAAGTCCCACAGGGAGCGGCAGGAGATAAGGGGGCGGGGGAGGGACGGGACTGGGACGCGACGGCAGGTGGGGACCCTAGGGTGGAGGCGAGGAGGGCGACCCCGAGGGGGAGGGCCGCCGCCGCCGCCGACGGGGAGGGGCGCTGGAGAGCCGGCCGCCCAGTGAGTCACCCGCTGCAGCGCCGGCGGGTGGGTGAGAAGCCAAGGCGCCCTGGGACACCAGCCGGCCGGCCGGCCGGCCAGGCTTCCACGGAGCGCGCGCGGGACAGACCCCACTCACGCCCGAGACCCGCTCAGTGGAAAGTTACCGAGCGCAGAGACTCACTTCCTGCAGTGCTGCCGATGGATGGACAGAGCGGCCGCCACAGTGTCATCATCCCCTTCTAGAGTCCATTCATGGTTTCCCACCCCCCACTCGTGATAGAACACCATTCTGTGATAGGCAAGGCTTGAGCTCTGAAGCGCGAACCGTCGGTCGGTGGGGGAAAAGGCTCCTGACCACCAGTTTTCACGCTGGGCCCTAAGTGCTGCCCCAGCACTATCTGCCGGGCGCCGGGCCAGTCGGTGCTCAGGGCCCGTCTATATTCGTCTCCTGGCCTCTCTCCTCGCCCTTCGCTGGCCAAGAGAGGGTAGGGTGGTGGAGTGGTGCCGAAGTGGCCGTTATGAGGACCCTGAGAAGTGAAAGCGCTCGCCTTCTATGGCGGAGGGGTGTCAACTTTAGACCACAGAGCTTGCTCAGCATCACTGATTCCTTCCCCCAACTGTGTGGCCTGCACCGCCTGCCTCCAAGTGAGTGGAGCACGTGTGCATGTCAGTCTTGCAGCCCCTTTTCCAGGCCCCCTCCCCAGCCAGCCTGCAGGGCTCAGATTACCCCTGGCCTTTCCTAAAGGGCACTGGTTCCTCTTTAACCTTTGCAAAAAGGGAATGTAAGGTTAAGGAGGGGAGAGAGCGAGAGACCCTCCTATCGGCAGCCCCCCCTCCTGCTCCCTCCAAGAGTGGACTTCAAAGTAGAGACTTTTATTTGGGGGACAGAAAGAACATGTATGGGGTAGTCATTAACTTTTGAGAAAAGGGGTACCCAGGCCAGAGGCTTCTGCTTGAGGCTCTAGTGGGCATTTGGCTGTCAGCCTGGTGTGGAGGGGAGGAGGGTGGAATGAGAGAGGCGGGGCTGGCTGGGGGACAGGGTGGCTTGGAGATAAATGCCCAGCCTGAGAAGGGGTGAGCTGACACTGTCCCAGCTGCCACCTAGACGAGGAGCTTCATTCAAAGTCCCAGGGAAGCCGTCACAGGTTTGCTAGAACTTCAGTTCCTGGTGTGCAGGTGTGGGATGGTGCTGGAAAAAGTGAGGGAAGTTTTGACTTCTTTCTTCCTAGGACTAGAGGGCTTGAAAGAGAGTGGCCAGGTTGGAGCAAGCAGGATTGAGGCAAACACTGGAATACTGACAGATAGAGGAAAAGAGACGCTGAGGAATGGGGAAGCAGATAAAGAAGACAATTAAGCCAGGCAGAGAATTGGGGGTCTAGGAGGATTTGGGAATGGGACGATGAGAACCAGATAGGATTTGAGGGCTTGAAGATGCAACAAGCAGGTACTTAATCAGAAAAGTGGAAGAAGAAGGCATAAGCTTGGTGGAGTATTCAGGGAGTGGTTTCCTCTGGGGTTATAAAGTCGTGAGCCCTTGATTTTCAGGATGGGAGGGTGGAACAAGAGCTGTTCCGAGTGGGGGAGGGTGGGGGAGGGGGCCGGCCTGCCTGCCTGCCTCTTTGGTCTATGACCTTTTTATGGGGTATTTTTAGCTCCAGCACCTGCCTTCTTGGGGTGGAGAAGACTCTTAAAAGGGCAAGGGATTTCTAGTTCCTTAAGGGATCATCTGTCCACACTTGCTCACTCACATCTTTTGTGGTGCAGTCATGGCCATGCAAAAAATCTTTGCCCGAGAAATCCTGGACTCCAGGGGCAACCCCACAGTGGAGGTGGACCTGCACACCGCCAAGGGTAATATAGGCCCGTTGAATTGGTTTGCCTCAGAAAACCCCCAATCTCACCTGCTCCTTCTCAAGGGTTCTATACTACATCCTGTCCTGTGTCAGAGGTTCCTTTCCCCAGACTCCTTCACAGGCCCTCTTCTCCTCCTGGCTCTAAAGCTGGGGGGGGGGGGGGGGGGGGGCGGCGCGGCGCAGGAGTTTCTCTGTATTTTCTCCTGTCCCTGGGTCCAGGGAGGTGCCCCCAGGCCCTTGTGAACGGGCTCCCTCTGATCTGCCAGTTCCTCCTGCCCAGGTCGATTCCGAGCAGCTGTGCCCAGCGGCGCTTCCACGGGTATCTATGAAGCACTGGAACTAAGAGATGGAGACAAATCCCGCTATCTGGGGAAAGGTGAGCAAAGACTAACCCAGGACAGAGTAGAGGGCCCCAACCCAAAGCCAAGGACCCCATAAGGAAGAGGCTTAATCCCCTCAGAAAACTGAACCCGTTCTCTGGCCTCCAGGAGTGCTCAAGGCTGTGGAGCACATCAACAAGACCCTAGGCCCCGCACTGCTGGAGAAGGTGAGTTGGAGGAGCCGGCTCCCCCCCCAACCCCCACCCTGTGACCCTGTGACCCCTGCCTCCCCCCAGGCACCCCACTCCCAATATTTTCACCTGTCCTTCATCCTGCACATTACCTGGCTCCTGAGAAATCCGACCTCTGCCTCTTCCAGAAACTAAGCGTTGTGGATCAAGAAAAAGTTGACAAATTTATGATTGAGCTGGACGGGACAGAGAATAAGTGTGCGTGAGGCGCCAGAGATGGGGAGAGTGTGGCATGGCATGGCATGCGGCAAGGGTGGGCGAGAGGCCGAGGACAGCTGGCTGGGTGGTTCCTGTGGCCCATCTTGGGGCACACCGAAGCTGGGTAGCCCTTTATTCATTCCACAGGCATTTCCTGATGCCTGTCTCCTGCCAGGCCTGGCTGGCAGGAGACAACATGGGAAGCTGTTGGCCCAGGGAGGAGGGGGTGAACTCCCAGAAGTCTGCAGGCCGGGAAAGAGATGAGTTAATGAAATCTTAATGTCCAGTGGTTTAGGAAGCTTCTTCCTGGGGTGACCAGAGGGAATGTTCAAGGAATTAACCACAAAACCCGTAGGAGCTGTCATCCTTCTCCCTGGTTGCCTCCCTCTAGCCAAGTTTGGGGCCAATGCCATCCTGGGTGTGTCCTTGGCTGTGTGTAAGGCGGGAGCAGCTGAGAAAGGGGTCCCTCTCTACCGACACATCGCAGATCTTGCAGGGAATCCTGATCTCGTACTTCCTGTGCCTGTGAGTGTGGTTGTCCCTTCTAAATCCCTGTGACAGCTGCCCTTTCCCAGCCAGGAATGTGAGTAGCCCCCTGGTAAATCTACCTTGCAGATCCTGCTCCAAAGAAGCATTTCCTGAAATGAAATCTCTCTGGTGCTGTGCTCCCGCCCTCCCTCTTTCCCACAATCTAACGCTAAGCCTCTTGATGTTCCCTTCCCTGGCCAGGCCCCTTAGTCCCTTCACATTCCAGGCTCAGGCTGCTTCCTTAGACCTCATTCCGTCTTTGTAGTCCATTCCCCTAGTCAGATATGAAAGCATCCTCAGGGCGAGGATCTCAGTATTTCTGTGTATCTTCTGAGTCCGTATAAAGTCACTGCCCTCTTAGTAGTAACTCTGAGTTTTGTCGGGTGCAGAGAAAGCCCTGAGTGTATGAAGTCCTGGGTGAATGTGTATGTTGACATGAACCAGCCTTGTCAAAGACCCCAGAGCCTCAGACCCAGGAGGAATGGCAAAGTCTTCCTTGGTGACCAGGTGCAAGTGTTGATAGTGTGTACATAGTATGTCCACCATAACTCCCTCCCCCTTGGATGTTTACGGTCTGAAGACCACTCCCCTACAGAGACTGCCCTTACTGAGATCCCTTAACCCTGTCCCCTGGGTCCAGCTGTATACCATAAACCCTACCTCCTTGTCTATACTTATTCAATAACCCTGCTTCTCTGTTCAACTCTATATAATAAATATGCTGAGCTTATATAATAAACACATTGAGCATCTAGAGTGCTGAGGTTTTCAGAGAGCTCAGTCTGTCCATTCCCCAGCTTTTCTGTCCGTGTGTCCATTCCCCAGCTTTTCTGTCCGTGTGTCCATTGCGCAGCTTTTCTGTCTGTGTGTCCATTCCCCAGCTTTCCTGTCAGTCTGTCCATTGCGCAGCTTTTCTGTCTGTCCATTCCCCAGCTTTTCTGTCTGTGTGTCCATTGCCCAGCTTTTCTGTCTGTGTGTCCATTGCGCAGCTTTTCTGTCCGTGTGTACATTCCCAGCTTTTCTGTCTGTGTGTCCATTGCCCAGCTTTTCTGTCTGTGTGTCCATCGTCTGTTCTTCTCTTCATTCCCTTACTGCCCCAGTCGCTTCCATCCTTGGAGCCCTGCATGGCCTGGGTAGAACTTAACGTCACCATTTATTGTTACTTACTAGGAAGATTGTGTTAAGAGCATGGATGGTGGTGGTGCATGCCTGTAATCCCAGCACTCTGGAGGCAGAGGCAGGCGGATCTCTGTGAGTTCGAAGCCAGCCTGGCCTACAAAGCAAGTTCCAGGGCAGCCAGACCTGTTACACAGAGAAACCCTGTCTCGAAAAACCAAAAAAAAAAAAAAAAAGAGCCTGGGCTCTAGAGACACCTGCTGGGTTCGGCCTCTGGCCTGTTTTCTAGTTGTGTGATCTTAGGCAAGTTATTGAACCTCTGTGCCTCAGTTTCCTCGTCCGTAAAGAAGAAATTAGTAAGAATGTATAGTTAATAGAGATGTTTGAGAGTGAAACAAGCTAGTTTATTTAGAATGCCATAAAATTATTGTTACACATCAGGCATGTACTAAGCACTTTATATTCATTTTCCCCTAATTTTCAGAAGAGTCTACAGGGAAGTAGGCATTGTAACCACTTTGTAGAAATGAGGGAAAGGCCCTGAGTACAATTATGCACCCTAAACCACTCAGCTAGTAAGCAGGGAATCCAGCTCCCACCTCCAGTTCCCTCTCACCTTTGACCCCCCATGCCACCCAGTTCTGAGCACCATCTCCTGTCTCAGGCCTTCAACGTGATCAATGGGGGCTCTCATGCTGGAAACAAGCTGGCTATGCAGGAGTTCATGATCCTCCCAGTGGGAGCCAGCTCCTTCAAAGAAGCCATGCGCATTGGCGCCGAGGTCTACCACCACCTCAAGGGGGTCATCAAGGCCAAGTATGGGAAGGACGCCACCAATGTGGGGGACGAGGGCGGCTTTGCACCCAACATCCTGGAGAACAATGAGGGTCAGTGGGAACATCCTGGGGCATAGACCACCTGGGTCCCCATGAGGTGGGGAGGAAGAGAGGCTGCAGATGCAGGGGACATTGGAGTCTCAGGTTATTTCTTGCTCCTCTCCTAGCCCTGGAGCTGCTAAAGACAGCCATTCAGGCAGCTGGTTACCCAGACAAGGTGGTAATTGGCATGGATGTGGCAGCATCTGAATTCTATCGCAATGGGAAGTATGATCTGGACTTCAAGTCACCTGACGATCCTGCACGGCACATCAGTGGGGAGAAGCTTGGGGAGCTGTACAAGAACTTCATCAAGAACTATCCCGGTGAGGTTTCCATGTGCTTCTTTCCTGCCCTGCCTTCTGCAGTTGCCTGACACGGGTTTCAGTTATTTGGCTTTGCCACAATCCCAGCCCTTTCCATCCTTAGCTCCACTGCCGCTTCCATTTAACCCCTGCTTCTTGTCATCCCTCCGCCAGACCCCCGTCTCTAACCCCAACTCTGCTCTCACATCCCTACCAGTGGTCTCCATTGAAGACCCCTTTGACCAGGATGACTGGGCCACATGGACCTCATTCCTCTCTGGAGTGGACATCCAGATTGTGGGAGATGACCTTACAGTCACCAACCCCAAGAGGATCGCTCAGGCTGTTGAGAAGAAGGCCTGCAATTGCCTGCTACTGAAGGTCAACCAGATTGGCTCAGTGACAGAGTCCATCCAGGCGTGAGTGTCTCCTGACTCAGGCTCAGAGTGGCCACCCTCAGCTGCAGCTCAACGCACTGCTCGTGTTCTTGCCATACGTCTACCCTTCCCTGGGAACCTGACCCACCCAAGCACTCTTAACCCCAAGGCTATGACTAACCCTTGGCTTGTCCCCAAGACCTTGCCCCTGTGGCTCTGCCATGTCCCGTTACCTCCCTCTCATACTGTGCTCTTCTCTCTACCATCTTCTGGCCACCCTAATCCAAGATCAGAAATCTTTCCTCTCCTGCTTCCCGGAGAACTTAGGCACTACATCCCTGCAGTGCCCACTGCCCAAAACAAAGGGAAGGAAAGCTCTGCCTTGCCTGTCCCTGGCTTTCTGAGGAGGTCACATAAGGCCTCACCAAATGTTCTTCCCACACAGCTGCAAACTGGCACAGTCTAATGGCTGGGGGGTGATGGTGAGCCACCGCTCTGGGGAGACTGAAGACACTTTCATTGCTGACCTCGTGGTGGGACTCTGCACAGGACAGGTACTCAGGGCTTCCCTCTACCGAGGATCTAACTGAGTTTCTTGGATCACCTTGGTGTCAACCTGAGTTGGATACCACTACAGCCTGCTCCTTTGGGGCCCAAACCAACCCCTCCAAATCCCTTTCCCACCTCAGATCAAGACTGGTGCCCCATGTCGTTCAGAGCGTTTGGCCAAATACAACCAGCTTATGAGGTACAGTGGGTACAGAAGCCTGTGGGGAGAGGAAGGCGCTCCTGGGCTAGAAGGGAGCAGCTCTGATTTTTGTATTATAGGATTGAGGAGGCTCTTGGAGACAAAGCTGTCTTCGCTGGACGAAAGTTCCGTAATCCAAAGGCCAAATGAGAAGCTGGAGGCTCCGGGACACCAAAGAACAGACACAGGCCTTCAAGCCCTTCTCCCTGAAATAAACACTGCCAAACGAGACCACGGTGTGCTCCTTGGAAGGAAGGAGGGAAAGGCTGATTAGCTAGCTGGGAAGGACAGGCAGTGGACAGGCGGCAGGAGGAAGAGACAGAGAATGACATGTAACAGGCTGTGACAAGGAAGTGAGGAATTGGAAAGCTCGGTGGATGTAAAAGAGAAATTCACACTTTGGAATGAAGATAGAAAAAGCAAATTCTGTATGTGAAAAGGAGCTGGAGCGGTGTCTATGGAGTGAGAGACAGCGACTGAGTGGTCAGAAGTGGATGGAGAGGGACTGAGGGTCCTGATGCTCCCAGCAGGAGAGGGGTCTGAAGCAGGATGCAGCCAGACTGAGTCCTTTGTGAGGATAAATGATAATGAGATCATTTACCACTTCAGTGGAGCTTGTGAGGATCTGGAAGTGTTCACAATACTTGATGTTATTGCCTTACATAAGCCTTGAAACAGTCCTATCAGACATACACCATTCTTGTCCCATTTTCACACACAAGGAAACCAAGACACGAAGAGTTAAATATTCCTTATTCAACACAGCAGAGTTAGCAACTGGTAGGGCCAGGACACAAAGCCAGGCCATTTGGCTTCAGCCTTAAAATACTGTATCTTAGCTGGGCGTGGTAGCTCACATCTATAATCTCAGGCCTTGGGAGGTAGAGAAGGGATAACAAATTTCAAGGCAGCTTGGACTATGTAATAAGACCCTGTCTCAAAATTCCAAGCTTAGGGGGCTGGAGAGATGGCTCAGTGGTTAAGGGCACTTGTTGCTCTTACAAGCACCAGGGTTCAGCTCCCAGCACTGACCTGGTGGCTCACAACTATCAGTAACTCCAGTTCTAGGGGCTCCAATGCCCTCTTCTGACCACCACAGGCACCAGGCATGCACATGGTGCACACCTTTACATGCAGGTAAAATACTCATACACATAAATTAAAAAAAACCCAAAACTCCATCCCAGCTTAGTGATAAGAGTGCTTGCCCAGTATTCACGAGGCCCAGAGTTCAATATCTAGCACCACAAAATAAATAAAAATAAACCTGAAAGTCACAATAACAGTGCTAATAATTGGCCATCTTTAGCTTATACAAACAGCAACTTCATACTGTTCAATCTAAAATTATTCTCTTCTCTGCCTATGGACCTAGTATCCACATTTCTATGTGCAAATCAGAGCATTGGGTCAAACTGTTTATTCAATGTAAAGTAACCCCAGCCCCATGGGGAAGAAAGTTCCAAGGATAATAGAGAATAATACAGATTAAATACCCACCCATGCATTTGCACTCTTACACACACACACGCACACACACGCACCAACCAAACATCCAAGTTACAGCAGTGATAAACACCTGCTTCTCCTCCAGCCTGAATGACAGCTGGTAGGACCTCATAGTTTAGAAGGGGGCTCCAGAATAGGTCCTGATAGCAGCAGCCTTGTTCCTCCATGCCCCTGCCTTGCTGGAGGTCAAAGGGAGTTGGGTGTGATGCCTAGGAGGTAGTTGGCAACTCTTCCCCACTCTGCCGCAGACGTTTCTTGGCTCGGATCTCATTCATGGCCTCTTCTATGGAGCGCGTGTCTCGTTTGTTGGCCACAGGCACTGGAAGCAGAGGGGAAAGTGGGCAAGACCTCAGTCTCCACTCCCCTCCCCCAACCATGCTCACGTCATGCCTCCCCAGCTCCCACCATGGCTCACCACAGCCATAGGTCTTGTTGGCTTGCAGCATGTGGGCTGCATCTTTGGCTGCTCCTTTGCCAATAAGGTGGCTATACTTATCCTTGTAGTCGCTAGCAGGGCTCACCACCACAGGTCCCTGCTGGGCTGCTTCCTCCTCCTGTTTCTGAGCCAGCTCCTAAGGGCACAGAGGTGGGGCACCTGTGCTCAAGGCCCTGACCCCAGCTGGCCTCTTGCAGGGGCTGGTTACAGGCTCCAGAGCCTGCAAGGCACAGCTCACCTTTAGCTTCCGTTTCTCCTCAGCCTTCTGGGGGTCCCACTCCTCTCCATGACGGTAGGAGTCTAGCTCCTCATCTGAGGGTGCAAACTCCTGGGGATGAAGGGAAAGGTAGAATCAGAGGTCCAAATCTAAGTGTGATCTCCTTCCTCCCCCGCCTCAGGTAGCGGGGCAGGCCGAGAGGAGAGGCAGGAGCCCAGCCTTCACCTTTTTGAAGATCATGACGTAGCGACAGTCATCATCGTCTCCAAAGGAGAAGGATGTGAGGCCTGCCACTTCCACCACGTCATGTCTGGGGAGGAGGCAGAAGACAGCGCAGTGAGCCGTAAGGCCTAGTCCCCACTGGCTCCCTCAGGTCCCTTCACTACCCATCTCTTGCCTCCCCAAGCCGAGAGACACTCACAGTATGCTCCTCTCTATTTTGTTCATAGGCTGAAACTTTTTCTTGATCTGTGCACTGTCCTGGATGAAATCAGACACCTCTTTCTCCATCTTAGGAGAAACAAAAGGAGGGGGACATGAGATGAGAGGTCCCCCCAAAACTCGGGCCGTCGGCCTTCTTAAACCTCCCGCTGCTTTCCCAGCTCCCGCGCGGCTGGCTTTAGTTCCACCTCTCTGGAGGCACTGTCTACACAACCAAGTCCTCAATCTTCTAACTCTTACTGCAGGTCCTTCCGAAGCCGCCTGTGACCTCTCCAGTTGTTCTCACCCTTTTCCGAAACTCCGCTTTGTGTTGTTTGTCTTGCTCTTGCAGTTTCTTCAGGCGGGCAGCCTGCTCTAGGGTGAGAAAGGGCAGCATGAGGTCTGAAGCCTGGGTAGAGTGATGGTCAGGCCCCAGAGAGGGTCTGACAGCCACTGGGAAGGGCCGTGCTCCGACAGCAGGGTACTGCTGACTCACCAAGCAGTCTCTGATGTTTCCTCCATACCACAACCTGACACCGTGCTAAGCCCCAGAGTACCAAGATGGCTGCAAGTTTTCCCCTAGCAGAGCTCAGTGTGGCTGGGGACCACAAAGACTAGAATCACCCCCACTTACCAAGCCTCCAAGAAAGCCAATTAGCATTCACTCAATGCCCAGAGTCTAGAAGGAACTAAGGCATCGGAGGAAGTGAGAACAGCATCAGCGTCGGGGAAGAGGAAATGATTTAATTTTCATCTCTCTATATAATTATTATTTTGGAGATAGCATTTCACTCCCTGGAACTCACTATGTAGATCAGGCTAGTCTCAAAATCACAGCCATCTGCCTGCTTCTGCTTCTGGAGTACTGAGATTAAAAGCATGCACTCCTACAACCAGCTTTTAACTTTTGGAGACAGTCTCTCTCTGTGTAGCCCTGACTGTCCTGAAACTCTCTATGTAGACCAGGCGGGCTTCAAACTCACAGAGATCAGCCTGTTTCTGCTTTCTGAGTGCTGGGTTTAAAGGTGTGTACCACCACCACCCGGCAAAGTCCCTCTATGTCATAGTGCCCCCCCCCCACAACTTCTAAGGTCAGGGTGACACTGGAATGGCTCATCTGATGCCCTTCTCACCTGTTCTGTTTTTGTTTTGTTATTTTGTCAACTTGACACAAAGCAGAGTTATCTAAGATGAAGGAACCGTAATAAGAGAACATGCCTCCGTAAGACTAGCCTGTAGTCAAGTCTATGTGTGGGAAAATGTCTTTATTAATGATTGGGGGGGGGCAGCCCACTGTGGGTGGTGCCACTCCTGAGCAGGTGGTCTTGGTGTATAGGAAAGCAGGTTGGCAAGCCAGTAAGTAGCACTCCACGGCTTCAGTTCCTGCCCTGACTTCCTTCGATGACGGACTGTGACGTGGAACGGTAAGCTGAAACGAACCTTTTCCTCCCCAAGTTGCTTTTGGTCAAGTTGTGTTTTATCACAGCAATAGAAACTCTAACAAAGACAGAAACTGGTACCAGAGAGTGGACTATTGTTGTGATAGCCCTGGCCATGGCCATGTTTTTTTTGGGAGGTGTGTGAGGTGGTACAGAGGGACTATAGAAGAAATTTGGAACTTTGGGCTAGAATGCCCATTATGTGCTTTAGTCATGTTGTTTTTATCACACAACAGGAACCCTAAGACATCACTTTTCTTTGGGGGGTATAGGTGTCCAAAGATAGTTAAATAAACTCTCCTCTCTTACTGAATGCCCCTCCCCTTCCTCAGACCCTGCCTTTGTACCAGATCATCCCCTCTGCCTTAGTGGGCAGGTGCAACTTTTTAAAAGGGGAATGCTGAAGACTGAACTCAGGGTCTTGCACCTAAAGATGAGCAGTGCCTGCCTACCTGCCTGCCGGCCTGCCTTCTCTCCCTACCCATAACTTTGAGACTGGATCTCACTCTATATCCCAGGCTGACCTGAAACTCACTACAGTGTCCAGGCTGGCCTCAAACTTACAGACCCACCACACTAGCCTAGGATTGACTGATGTGGTATTGAGGCTTGAAGTTAGGGTCTTTCACATGCTAAGCAAGTGTTCTACCACTGACTGAAGCAACATTCCCAGCCCTCAGACTACTTTTAACCTGGTCCCTTATCCTGTCTTCTATGATAGGAGTTTACTGCCTCTTGTGATTTGGCACATGTGTCTTCCTCCTGGTCCTCAGCTTGAAATGCCCCTTCTTTCTTTTGGTATTTCAAAACCCTAGGCTCGCTTCTTCCACAGGGCTGGAGTCCCCAGAGTGGCAATGAACCTCTTCCGACTTCCTAGGCACGTCATGCCTTCGTACATGTTGTCCCTTCTGGGTGGAATGCTTTTCCTTCTCTTGCAAACACCAATTTCTCACCATGAGTCAAGACTTCTTCCTGCAGGCTCCAAGCACATTCTCTGATAAAGACATGCATGGTTTTTTTGTTCTGTTTTCCCTCATCTCTCCTTCCAGGCTATGAGCTGCTGGAGGGCAGGGACCCTGTTCACCTCCCGTCCAGTTGTACTTCAGCGACCAGAGTCTGACAGACTTGAGGTTCTCATCTCTCTGACTTCACTGTCTTGACCGTTCACTGTTTCCTAATTGGTTTTCCAGGCTTTTCTGCATCTTGGGAGATGGATTAAGATTGTGCTCAAGAACACAGGCTAAGAACGTGACTAAAAAGTCACGACTGGGTTCCAAATTGGGCTACTTAGTAACCTGAGACCCCAGGCAAGTGGCTGAAGACCCCTACTCTGTTAGCTGATGTGAGTACTCTTCTGTCACTCATCTGAACACAAGTAATTTCAACTCCTGTTTCCTATTAAGCTCTGCTTTCCTGGAGCTTCCGAAAAGAATCCATTCTCTTCACTGAATTACCTATTTTTCGGTGCTCAGCTCATTTCAGATAAGCTTGGGACCCCCCAGTTAATCTCTCTTACATATAGATTTCTCTCAAAGCACTTAATTGGTTATTAAATTTCTTTATGATCATTAGTAAACATCTCAGACACAGTCTGTAACCTTCCTGATGGGTATCATTGGCTCCACAAGTTTTGTAAATAAGGGACTACGGACATTTAACAGTTCTTGAACATTTTGAAGGCATCCTGCCTGTCCTGCCTCCTTTGGGTAGATGGGGAGCAGGTCCATGGTCAGGGCCCACATGGTTGGGAGCTGGGTGAACCGAAGGCTGTCCTTCCTCTGCCAGAGCGTGAGCCAACACTGAGTAGGCCTCTTGGGGCCGCGCCCTACCAACGCTGCCAAACTCCAGCAAGCTTTCTGGTTAGCTGCTCATACTCAGCACAGGGGGGGCCACGAGCGAATCAGAACCTGCGGGCCATTCTCATCCCTCCAATCAACATCACGATCCGGTTGGACAGCACAGGAATTTAAGGATATAGTTAGGAAGGGGCTGTTGAACGGAGGTATGAGGGACTGGGTTAACTCGAGGAGGAGGAGGGGCACAGAGAAAGGAGGACCCAGCTAACCAATGGGAGGTGCTGAGGTTGAGGGAGGTCAGAGGGAAGGGGAAACTACACTTAAGAGCTGGAAGTTGAGCTAGCCAATAGAGGGGAACAGATTGTGGGTGGGCGTGCCCTAAAGCTAATCGGAATGGAACTGGAGGTACGCGGGACCTAGGCGAGGGATACGACATCCTCCAATCGGAAGAAAGCGCCCTACTAATCAGAGCTCGCCAACAGCAGACAGGCGGGCCCGTGGGCCAATCGCAAACAAGGACTGCAGAAGGCCAGGCTAGGAAGAAGAGGCAGGAGGCAGGAGACAGACTGAGGTAGCCAATCATT